AAGTCAAAATTTGAATTTACCAATTTTAATCATTTCCAACTCTTAATTTTCATTAATTTAGCTGAAAAGGCTAAAGCGATCGATTGATGTTGACAAGTAATTGGACTCGACAGTTTGTCAAGAAAATATAAGATCATTATTATGACCATCATTGTGACCATCATTATGGCCATCATCTTAATGTAACACATCAAGGAAAGACTTATACAAATTGGACAGAAGAAAAATTCTGGTCCATTTTTTGGGTTGACATTTTTTTGGGTTTTCTTGTTTGAAACCTTAAAATTGATTTGTTTAGGGAAATGTTTAGATGCGCTTTTCGGTTCACCTTTCAATTGAAATGATCAATTTTTCAGGCTTATTTCAATGATTCAATGTACAATGAATGTTATTGATTGTTTGTAAAGCAATTTGCAAATTGTAACATAAAAACATTGTTAATTTTACATTTGATTTGACTATTTTTGCTTCAATTCCCAGAGCTGATCAAATATTCATTTTCATTTGTCTCACACCCATTTAACAATGTATTAAAACTGGTTTCATTTTTAAGCTCAATCTTTGTTTCCATTTCAATTAAATTTAATCATTTATTTATGCTAATAATCAATGATTTACTTGTTAATTCTATTGTTGTTTTAATTGTTACATTGAATAATCAAATAGATTCATCTTCATTTGTTTGTTATAATGAAAAGCCATTTACAAGTACAAAAAGTCATCTCTTCATTGAGATCAACCTTAACGTGCCATTTACAATTGTAAATACTAAGACCAACTAATCTGTAAGATTGTATTAGCACTAAACAGCATCTTAATTCAGTTGATTTACTCTCAATTCAAGTCAATGTCGGCCAATTATGCATGCAAATGATTCTCGGAACTTTCATCGGTAAATCTGTTCTCAACTAATCACTGAAATTACCATTAGCTAAATTGATGGTGAATTAGACAATCAGACAAATGTAAATGTAAACAGTTTATAACATCATCAAGATATCAAGTAATTCATTAAATTGAATTCATTGAAAGGGAAATTGGTTTAATGATGGAAATGTTGACTTTTTTTCTGATCAAAAATGAGAAAATTTCTGGTTCAAATGTTACTTTAGCATTTGATTTTACAACCTTTTTAACTTTGGTTTTTGAAATTTTGAATTCACTTTATCGTGATCTGAAACTTGAATGTTGAGCATTTGATGGTAAAAAAAGCGTAAAGATTTCAAGATTAATCGTTAAGAGTATTTAAAAGTAAAATAAGGAACCATGGAAATGAATCAATTGAAAATGTCAAACAGCGTTTATATCAAAATGTTGGTAATCCGTGAAAAGTACATCTTTTGTTTTCTCGCCTTCACACACAATTTAATCTAATTACAATTTTGTTTAAAAATGATGAGCTGTCATCATCAACATCGTCACTTGTGAGGTGAATGTTAAGGTATAAGGTGAAGAGTCATTTATTTAATAATAAATGCAAGATAATGATGATGAGAAGAAAGATTCAAGTGCCTTTAAGAATCAACCATGAAAAGAAACAATAAAGATAATGTCTATGGAGGATAACTGATGATGATGATGATCTAATTATAAACGCAACAATTTAGTCTTAATTCGCTTCCTTTCAACAGTAATTTACTCATTGCAATGTTAATTGGATAAGTTAAGTCAGTCAAAGTTAATCCAAAATATGCAAAGTGAAAATATAAAGATGAAAACAAAAAAAAACAATTGTATTAATAGAAGCATGAAAAGTGTTGTAAACAAGAGCAATTAATGATTAAATACGATTAATCAAACTGTTTCCATCCTATCGGCAAATGTCCAAATGCTGACCATCAATTGTTAAACTTACAGAACGAAAAGAGCACGAAAAATTTCCATCTTTCATGCAAAATCCTAGAGTTTAGAGTTGAAATAATCATTTGAATCTTCCCTGCTTGGAGTTTCATAACAATGAATATAAATTTATATGAATTTCAAGCGGAATACTGATCATGATTGATCTCGATCTTTTACTGAACACAATACATTAAATCCACACTTAAAGCCTCTTATTAATGAAAAACCATCTTCAATGAGAAGAGCTAAAAAATAAAATAAAATCTGGTCTGCAACTGAACAAAATGCGCTCCAAAGTTTGGACTTTGAAAGGCGTTTTATCAAAAATTGTCGATCAGAAAAGTTAGGTTCAGTTATTATGTCCTAAAAGTCTATCAGATCGAAGCTCGAGTTTTTGTGCTCATTAATCACCCAACAGTAAATCATAAAGTCATCAAACTAAACAAAATAGTTTTCTCCTTTTACATAGCTTTAGAATACGGATTCTGTTTTTTCTTTTAATCTTTTAGAACATGATTTTCTCATGAACCCGAATTCCTAGAATCATGCTCATCATTTAGTCTTAGAATTTCTTTAATAGAACCCTTTCCGTATAGCTAAAATGAGTGATCGTAAAGTCTTTTTCATTGGGTAGGATACAATCATCAGACATCAAAGATCCGGATTCTTAATGAGAAAAAAATTGTCGGAATAAGGAATCTAATAGTTGAAATCTTTTGCTTTTATCACTTTGATGATATTCATTTTGGAGTGAAAAAGTCTTTCTTTAAACACGCGTAAATTTTTTGCTGCAGTTGAGTTGATATTTTGTTGACTGTAGCGGCTTAAAATTGAGTCCAATTAAAAAGTCTCTATGAACGAAAGTCTTTGACAAAATTAGTTTAAAATTTAAACTCGATATCCTTTTATGCAGTTGAGACAACAGATTTTTTCATCAAACTCTTTAGTCTTCACTCGAGAGACAAAGTTTTACATATACTCCTAATGCAACAATAAACCATCAAACTTAACCTAAAAGTTTATCTTGTAAATTCAATACGGATTCTGCATTTTTCCCATCCTGTTTGAACGGTAATTTCCCAGTTAGCTGAATTCTGATTAAGCTCTGAATATGTTTCTCATTGAAGTTCGCTAATGGCTTTCAAGATATGCAGAAATTTTCTTTAGAACCCGCTCAGTTTGGCCACAATATTTCCGCAAAATAGCAAATGTTTGTAAAATATTATATGCTTTGATGAAAAGACTCAAAAATATTTGTTATAATTAAACATATTCAAAAGTAAAAAGCCAAGAATTAAAGTGATTGTCATTAATTACGCTAATTCAATCTCTTGCCATAAAAATCGATAATAAACGAGAAAATTCATAACTTACTCAAGTATTTGATAACGTTATTTTTGGCTGGCTTTTTGTATCAAATCACAGTACAATCAATTGGATAGTAAAAGTTGAAAAAATTATATGCTTTTTGAATACGACTGTAGGTTTGGGTATAAAAATTATTCACAATAAAGCCTTTTGTATTTAAAAGGTCATTTCTGTCTTTTTCCGTCTTTTATTTTGTAAACATTTCAAAGTTAAATTGATTTTGCTTTTAACTTATTTTTGGCTCTTCCTAGACTCAGTTTCAACTAAAAGTTCAAGAGCCACTGACTGATGATCATTTTGCATTATTAATGTAACAAAATTACTGAAACTTGATAGAAAGGGCTATGACTTTGAAAGGATATGATTGAGTTACTTTCAACGGACTAGAGATGGTTGACATTATCCACTCACAACGGTCACAACTATCAGTTTTCACTTGACTAAAGTGGACATTAGAGTTCAAAGTCACAGGGAAACTGATGAACCCATTCAAACTTAACTGTTGTTGTCTTATTGTAAAGTGAAAACAACTTAATGAAAGGTACAATAAAGACTAAATTGAAGTTGAAAATCAATATTGATCAAATTTTAATCCAAAATGAACAATTTCTTCAAATTTTCTAGATTCTCTGGAATTTCTCATTAAACTTTCAACAATAATATTTCATTGTTTCTTCTTATTTCACTAAATTTTTCCAATTTATAAATGATGAAAAATTGAAGTGATTGAAATAGCAAGAAATGACCTTTTGTCCATTTTTCTAGATTAACCTTTAACTTTAAATATTGACCGATACATTTGGAGAAATTGAATGAAAGCTGATTTCATGGCAAACATTATTGAATCATTTATTGAGTAAATTGGCAAGTTTTGGTAAAAATAAATGCTATTCAAGAGACGATTGACAGCAAACATTAGAGTTTGTAAACTCATGTCAAAGGCAGAGGAAAAATTTTAACCTCTAAGATTGTATTTTGTTTCATTTTAAGATGAAAAGATTGATCCTGAAACATGATAATAACCATAACATTATACCTTGAAAAGAGATCCATGATCATTATTGATATTGAACATTAGATAATCACATGCATCAAAACAATGTTACTTTACATTTAGATATAAACTTTTAATGAATTTGGACAAAATCGGAAAGGCTAAAAGTATCAATGTTTCAATAATTCAGTTGCTTTTCTGAAGACTTTTTTTTCTCACTGCAAAATCTCAGATCATCATGAATATATGAAAATGAAAGGTGACAGTAAAGGCGACAAAAACTGGTATAAACTGTTTAACTATTAACGTTTTGATTACGAAAAACATTACAGATTCATTTTGATCAGATTATCATTTTCTGAAAGTTAAGATGAGACTCAAAGGCTGAGAAAAATGTTGAAAGTTAAAAGTTGAAACACTTAAATTGTGTTAATAAGTTATGAGCTTTTTGTTCAATGTAACGAGTTATTAGCTTAATCATTAATGTATTTGTGATATTTTTGGGTTAAATTCAAATCTTTATATGATTTGACCTTTAACCTTGAATATTGTTCATCATTAAACAATATCATTAATAAACTGTGAAACTCAATTCACTATCTTATTATTATCTAATGAGCTTTATTATAACTCAACCCGAGTTTTAGTCTTCTTTCAACCTGGGAATTGAATATCATTTTAGTGTGTTTTAATAACTCTGATTGGAGTTATTAATAGGATAATTTCATGGTGGAAACAGAAAAGTTGAACAAAAATTGAAGGGTTGAGTGTTTTATAATGATTTTTTTATAATTACCAGTAAGAAGGACTGAAAGGGTAATCCAATAAATGAAAAGGTTTGAACGAGAAAAGGATTTCCGTTTTGACCAACTTGCAGTTGAACACATTTTCAACTTGAATGATTTACAGTTTAAATTGATTGTTCCAATCTTGATCAAGTCCAAGATGATTAAAAGTGAAGAGTGTTAAAATTGGGTGTTAAAAGTGTTAAACAGTTGGTTAACCCAAAACAAAAACAACAACAAATGGTTAACAAGTTGATTTGGGTAAAGTTGAAGGATGAGTTAAAAAGGTTTAACTTTTTTGTTTGGTGATGAGGTTCAAAGGTTTTTGTTTTTTGGTTAAACTTGAACAAGACTTTTCAATTAAAGTTCACCATTTGATTAGCAGCAATTAACGTTCAACAATTGATGGTCGCACAATCACAAAGTGCTGATGCTTCTAACGGCTTTGTTTTCCAGTTTTTCCGATTTTTCCAATTTTTGATTTTCCCTTCTTTCCCTTGATATCTTGTACACTTGAGACGCTGTTTTTATTTTGCTGATTATCTAAGTGAATGAGAGAAGAATGATGATTAAGATGAGAATGATGATAATGATGATTGGAGTGTGAAAAATGCAAAAAAAAACCGAAACAGTTGTTTGGACAATGAAAATTGGACGCTCTCAAAGAGCTTCTTGTATGTAAGTGTGCCTATTCAGATTGTGATGTTATGGAGCACAGAAACTGGGAGGAAGATGATGATCAGTATGATGATGTTGATGATTATGATGATAGACCATGGAGTTTGGTGAGAGACAGGTGAGAATGCGCTTTAAAAATTACTATTCAAGTTCATCTTGTATCAATATTAAACTCTATTCATCTTTTTTGTTTATCATCAACTCTCATCACTCCCTTCATCTTACTGTTTCACTCCCATTTTTATCTTCACACTTTCACCTAAGGATCTTCCCTCTTTCCCATTATCATTATTCAATTGGTCACACATCTCATGAGTATTACCTTGCATCCATGAATTGACCAGAGTACAGCATTCTTTTGGAATAGTGAATGACCTTTTGGTGTCGCAAATGCGAATAAACCATTCATCGGGTTCAGTTTTTATCGGATTAAAGTCCAGTTTAGGATATAAAAGGTTTCCCATTGAGTCAAAGGCTTCATTTTGAGTTATCCGTTTATTCAAATCAGGATAAGCATCTTTCTCAGGAGTTTCCAGCTTATGGGAATCATATGGAGTCAGGGTTTGCGTGGCACTCTGAATAACAATAAGAAATAAAGATTTCAATTTGATTCCAAAATTTGGATGATTTCACCTTTAAGATCGCTTTCAATCTAAATTGACTTAAACAGTTGACTTACTTGGCTGGAAGGGACAATTGTATTGTCACCCGAATTTCGTCGCAATAAAAATCTTTCCAAATATTTTTCATTGATGGAGACAATTTTTTTCTGTCGGTTATAATGAAATTTGAATATGGAAATGAAAGAAAAGGTAAAAGACTTGAAGTTGTTCAATGTAAATATCTTACCATCCAGTTTAATGAACTTTGCTGACCAGCAATCACTTCAATTCCTTGCATAACCATACGAGCAACTCGTTTGTTGAATTCAGTGAAATGCTTGTATCCTCGTTTCGTTTGAATTTGTACTCTTAATGCTTTTACAAGTGGTTTTGTTGTTGATCCCTGTTTTGATAAGCCAAAATGTTTAGGTTAGTTGAATGAAAACATACTCCAAGAGGCATCAACTTACCAGGACAAAGACTGTGAACAAAATGATGAACAATACAGTTGTCTTGATTAGCCGATGGTTGATAATGACTTCATCTGAATCTGAGCCTGATTGGTCCAAATCATCTGAAAGTGAAAAAGCAATTGCACCTCGAAGTCCACCATAAGCCATTAAAATTTGCTCTTCCAGGTTAACAATCCTAATCCGTTGAAAGTAAACATTAACAGTGTAAGTTAATATAAATGTTGCTGGAAATGATGAAAACACAGAAATAAAAAAGATAGAAGATGAAATTAGGAAAAAGGTTCAGTTGATAATGTTCAATCAATTTACAATTTAGGATAAAAAACAGGAAAAGGTAAACAAAATTGTAATTGAAAAGTGTAATATTTTTCTCATCCACAGATTAATATTTATTGTAATCTCGTGATGATGATCAGTAAGTTGACCTAGAAGTTCACTAATTGGTTGACCTTTTCATTGGACAATGGCCTAAGGTATAGCTTACAGTTGATAATTAATCTCAATTGTTGTCAAATTATTTCTACTCTTGTTACATTGGATTTGGTAACAAATTGCACCTTTGCTTCAATGAGAAAGGCTATTGAAATGTAAATGATAAAATCCCTGATGACCATGATTATGATTATGGTGAAAAGGTGATATTTGATAAGGTTAATACTTACTCATGAATCGAGCAATGATACAATAAAAAGTGGTCAATATAATGAATGATGAATGCCAATGGTATTGGGTTTGAACCAGGACAAAACCCAGAAACATGAATATAATTGTCTCTGTTAATGAACTGGATATTTTGGTTAAATATTTTATCGTTACATCAGACCTTTTGCTGATATTTTGAACAGCATATTTAGCTTGAAACAGGCCACAGGCCATGAGACTGAGAATGGCTGAAAAGTTGAATAAATAGCCGGTAACATAAGCCAAGTATGCCAGCGTGATGACAATGGTGGGTTCAACAGCTTTTTGGTTGAGAAGCCAAGACATGAAAGAAACGCCAAAAAAATGAAATTTAATTACATGGACAAGTCTAAATGTATTATTTCTGGTCTTAGCTGTTGACCTGGTTAATCAATTTAACCAATTGAATGGCTATTTAATTTAAAACCAACATGTTAATCTTGTTAAACACAAATATCCACTTGTTTAATGTAAATGTTAGGTTTTATTAGGTTGATAATGATATCAAACAATTGGTAATGATTTACATATGCTGGTTGGGTTGTTAACCAGATGATGATGATGATGATGATGTTGTTGATAATGATGATGATGCTAATGGTAATAATAATGATGGTGATAATAATGAGATTGATTATGGAGCCATTATTGAATTGTAATATTAGAGTTGGATGAGACAACTGATCAGTGAACATTATAAGGTAAAGCCTTAGAGGCATTGCAAGTCCAATGAGAGACAAAAATCATTGGAACTCAAATTAAATGTAGTCACTTTTATCAGTTTAATTACTGGCAAAATGTGAAATCAATTATAATTTACTTCTAGTCTAAGAGCATAATGAGTATATAGTAAATAAACACAATTTTTCTTGTTTTACCTTGTTTTGTTACCTATCCTTACAGATATTGTAATTTTATAACCATCATGTAGCTCTCATCTTTAAACGATTAACTTTACCCAGACGAGTACAACTGTTACTTTAATGTATATAATATTTACCTAAATTACTGGTAAATTATAAAATGCAAAGACAAGAGCAAATAAATCATAATATACTAACTATATAAACTTAACATAATATTTAGTTTGTGGAGTTAATTGGATCGATACATCGTTGATTGAAAAAGGAGATAAAATTTTTACCTCTTATTCAACTTATTTGTAATGTTTTTAAGGTTGCTATTGCTTTTGTATTGTTGTCTGTTTACAGTTTCATCTTTTTCCTTCTTTGGGAAAGCAAAGGAATTTAATGGTTTAACTTATTTAACTTTTGCTAATCTTAATTCAATCATTGATTACTACAATTGTTTGTTTCTCCTGCTATTATCATAATAATTAAATTTTCAAGGGGAAACAGAAGGATTACCTTATTGTGTGTTTTGTCATTTTGTTTATGCTGTTTTCGTTTGGTTACATTTCAAGGGGAACAAAGTTAATTTTGGAAACATCTTCTAAACTGAGTCTCTAATTGGATTAACATTTAATTGAAAGTAAGTCATATTGACCATTAACTAATTCAATAGATTGGTAAATACAATTTACATTTACATATGATAACAATTAGATTTTATCCTCTCAACGCTTTTTTTCATATTTGTTTTCATAAAACTAGGTTTTCCCAGTAAACAAACTTGGCTTTTGTTGAATTGGATTGTCTCTCAATTGTCCTTCTTGTTGGTCACAAAATCAAGACACAAAGATGATTAACACAGTGTTGCTGGTGAACAATTGAGATATGCTTATCAATATAAATATTGGTTGAAATGGTCAATTCGTAACAACCAGGATTCAAAGACTAATGACTGGCAACACTTGATTCAGATGGTTTTAAACAATTTTCAGCTATAAAAGGAAATAATTTAGACGATTTACCTTTCAACTTTCTATCCGAGGTTAATTGAGTTATAAGACATGTGATGACTGCCCAAAAAATGCCGATCAATAAGCCACCCAATGAGCTGGATACAAATGATGCTAAAGCCAAAATAATATCAGTTGCTCTTATGTATTCGGAGGTGGAAAACTCTTTCAAATTTTCGTATAATGTTATAACAACAGCATCTAAATTGTTTTGTATAAAAATCATTACCAAAGAAGCAAATAGAAGTGATAATAAGTTGAAGTTTACATATAATTTACAATTATTTCTCAGTTTAACGCTTGAATCAATCAAGACTTTTATATCAGGCAAAGCAAAAGGTAATTGTTATATTAAATATTGAAATATTTATATTATTACAATTGTGACAAAATATTTTGTCTCTCCATTTTATAATATAATTTGGGTAAATCTGTACAGCCCAAAACAAATAGATTTCACCTTATATTTGTATATTTATTTGTTTACCTATTTGAGCTTGAGCAAGTCAATTTTTTTACACTCTTTCAAAGGTTAAAGTAAACTTAATTTGATATTTTTGATACACCTTAACAGTTAACATATCAAGAGGTAAATTGATTTTGTCTTTCACTTTAAGTTTGTGAATGTAGATTCAATTGAGTTTTGATTATTTGTAAATTACTATTAACTTGAAGTTATATGAACATTTCAAGGTATGATTTGATTGAATAAAGTCAAATAATCATGATATATTGATATAAATGAATAAAAAAGCTGGTGATAAACAAGCAAAAGAAAGGTTTGACTTCTTACCATTGAGTAGGGATTCACCAAAAACCAGGAAATATAAAGCTCGATTAACATTGACTTCCTGAAAAACTGATAAAACCTATTTTGTTTGTTGATTGTCATCAACATTGTAATGACCATCAATACCATCATTGTTTTATCATGAATAAAGACCAAAATAAATAAGTGAATTAGATTGATGAATTAATGGAATGGGATAAAGAAGAAGACAAAATTTCGTAAATAAAGTGTAAAATATCTCAAAGAGCTCAACAAAAATTGTATCAAAAAATATATCCAGAGAGGCAAGCTAAATGTTATATAAGACAAGTTATAACAACGCCAATGATCAATTAATTGATTTGTTTGATTGCTGATATTTTGTAACCTTGTTTACTCTATTTTAGACAAAGGTTAACAATAAATAATGGGGATGATAATTTTTCAATTGAGTTTCAACAATAACTTACAGTTTAAGGTTTCATTTGAAAATAAAACGGCAAAGATAATGTAATACATTATTATTAACATTATATATTTATGATGAGGAAGGCTTTTTAAGACGTTGTTACCTTCAAACTATCAACAATATATAACAAATTGGTAAATTATGTTTCTCTATCGTTATTATTAATAGTTTATTATTGTTAACCGTTTTTTTTTGTTTGTTGTCCCTTGTTCAATAACAATTTATTTTTAGTTTTTGATTTGAAAACTTACAGCTACTGGATCAACTGCTGACACGATTACTGCAAACATAAATATTTCAATTGTTGGAAGACTCAGTTTACCAAATAGTGATATTGTCTGGCTAAAGTAGATTAAATGAGAAACCAAAAGGACATTCATTAAGGTTCCCACAACGGCAAACATGATGATGGTTCCAACATTGCCAAAAAAGGATTGATGGTGAAGTTCATAGGAAGAGTCTAATACAATTGGTGGAAGTAAGACAAAATTGAAAAGGTTTGAATTGAATTCGGGTAAAACGGTGTTTTTAGAGGCAACCAATAATCCAACGCCGATTCCAAGAAGTATGAGAGCACAAGATTCAGGTATGTTTGAGAAGGCCTTGCGATTCTTGAAGTAAATAATTTTCACAATGGTGGCAGTTAAAAGTAGAATTGAAATGGAAAAATATTGACTCATTTCGTTCCATCTCAAGCTAAACATTGTGTTTGTTTTGGTAAGCAAAGTTAATTTTTTTATTCAGACACTGAAAATTTTAAATTTTTTTAATTATAATGACTGTAATATACATAAATAGAGATAGATAAGAGGATAACTGTATCACAAGATTAACATGAGTTTTAACTATTATGGGAAGAGAGGAAGAGAGTGTGAGAGAGAAAAGTGAGGGATAGTGCGTTCTTTAACTGGATTAACAATATATTAATTATCCATCTTTTGTACATTCTTTGAAGTGATCAACGAATTTTGTAATTGCTGGTGTTGTGTTTGTTCCTGGCTCGGATATTGTGATGTATTTTCAATGCTATTTTCACATTTGCTTGAATCCAAAGATTGTTGCCCATAATATGGACTCTTCTTGTCCTCCCCTTTTTCATTATCATCGCTATTACAGCTGTTACTATTACCATTTTTATTATTCATAATAGATGATGAGTTATTTTCATTGATTTTGGCATTCTCATTGTGTTCTTTTAAAGCTGTAAAGATGAAAGATAAAGACGAATTCAAAATTAATTAGCAATTGAAAAGGAGTGTTGAATTACTTTGAAACAGAAAATGCAAAAACAAATATTAATTACCGGAATTTGGAGTCATTGGTGTTGTTGCCATAAGTTTTTGTCTAACTTCTCGTATTTTTAACTGTAAAGTATGTTTATGCGGGAAAACATTGCTGTAACGCTGTTGAAATGATGCAGTTTCTTGAGCTAAAGTAGAAAGGAAAAGGAAAAAAAAAGTAATTAGCTAAAAGTTAAAAAATATCAACTCATAATCGAGTCGAACACATCAATACAAGTGATTGATCATTACTGATCTTTCAACTTTCAACTTTTACTTGCTTTCGAGAATAAGTTTAGCTAAATTTGCCTTGTTTGACCTTCATTTTAAAACTCATTCAAAGGTCATTTCACCAACTTAAAAGTCAAATAACTAAACTATTGGTTCACAGAAGTATACAAGAGCTAGTAATGCCACAGGTTACTCTACACGCTACAAGTGAAATTGCTATTTTTTGACTTAAGTTAAAGACCCAATCTTATTATTGTTCATGTGAATAGTAAACTTTGAGTTTCTCAATAAATTTTGGATAGTAATTAGTTTTCAAATGTATATGTATCGATTTGTCAAATAATGTTATTGAATGTACACATGTTTAAATGACAGAAAGTATCAGAATGATTGATAAAAATTTGGGAAAAAACAATGATTCTGAAATTGTTAGACATTGAGCTCAAGTTGAAGGTTTTACGTTAACAGGAGAGTACAAATTTATACTGAATGCATCTAGAATTTTGTTGCAAAAAGACAATGAATTGATCACAATTCATTGAAATTGCAACTACATGAAGCTCAATTGAACAGCTTGAGAATGATGACGATTTGAAAAGTAAAATATAATTACCAGTAGGCCAGAAGCCACATTCATTGAAGAATTGCATCACTAATTGTCTTCTTTGATCGAGCACTCTTCGGTTAGATGATTTATCAATATCACCTGCAGGTTTTGATATGGTGGAAAGAAAATGAAAAATGATCGTTAATTAGTAAATACATTGAAAGTGATTAATAAATAGTATTGAAGGTAAAAAGCAATACCGTTTAACATACCTCCAGGAGTTTTAGGTGATTTAGGTGTCAATAGAGTAATAACATTCTTATTTTTTGTATACTCTGGCGTATTATTATTGGCACCATTATGAGTAACTGATGCTATAGCCTCACCCAAATTAAAATTAGGACCGAAAAATTTTTCTCCTGATCCTAAAGTGATTGGGTGATTTGAATTTGAATTTGAATTGAGATTGTTATTCTTTGGAATTGTCATGGATGATGTTGATACGGACATTGGTGAAGATGTTGGTAATGTTGTAGTGGATGTTGATGTTAGCATTGTTGCTACTGTTGATGCAATTGTTGTTGTTGAAGTTGAAGAAGATGATGACGAAGATGATAATGATGATGTTATCGATGGAGCATTAGATACAACAGGAATTGTAGTTACAGAATTAGAATTGAATGCAGTTGGTGTTGAAATTCCTGAAGAAATTGAACTACGCTGTTTCTTTCGATATGATTGTACAAATGCTGTCGGTGAAAAAGGTAAAGGAGTACTTGGTGCTGATGTTGTTAAATTTTTATCTTCTGGTTTAAATTCTGGTAATTGAGCAAATTGTTGGTCAAAATTTACTTCTTCTAAAACTTTATCCATAGCATCTTTATCAGCAGTGTCACCAATACTATCAGTATTAGTATTATTACTATTACTGTTATTTAATTTAATGTTAGCATTCATCATTTTCAAATTATCATTACCATTGGGATCGTTGTTTACCTTATCATTATCAACTTCATGATCAACTTTATTGTCAGTTATTTTTCCATCTTGAGTCATTGACAGTTTCTCCTCTTTGTTTTGTTGTGTTTGTTGTTCATTGTGACCATTGTTTGTACTCTTTTTTGACACATTAAATTCATTCTCATCCTCATTGCTATTTATTTTCTTGGTAGCTGAAGTATTTGTTGTTGATGTTGTAGTAGTTGTTGATGTTGGTAGTGGTGGTGGTAGTGTTAAATTAGTATTAGCATCATTATCATTGAGTTTGGCACTTGATTGAGGATCATTTGTATTTCCCGAAAGTTTCTTGTTTCGGACTTTACCCAATTGAGCAGGAGTGGGCGCTAAAACGAATTTTGGTTCACTTGTTGAACCATGCACTGTGGAAGGCGATAATATTGCAGGGGACGGTGGGTTAACACCAACATGAGATAGTACTATTGGAGTTAGTGGTGCAGTAAGTGGCTGGTAATGGTTGATAAAACTCATGAAAGGATTATATAATGGCAAAGGTTGATGATGTTTGTTAGCTATTTGCGAAGGAAGCGTTTCGTGACTCGTTTTTTTGTGGTGCGACGCAAATTGCAGCTGTTGGTGAGATGATGCACTTGGTTGATTTGGATTAGGAGAATAGGGATTAGCAGAACTTGGCAATCGCATTTGCTTGTGACCCTGAGGAGCCACTATCACGGGAGACCTTTGACTAACTTGAGAATATGGCAAGTTCGAGGCAGAAGTGTTTTCATTGTACGAAATAAAATTAGAATAAGACGTTAAAAATAGAGGTGAAGAAATAGGAACTGCTGATTCATTAACCAGTGAGAAACGTGAATGAGATGGCTGAGAAATAACGTGCATTGGAAATGGCGACGCTGAACTTGTAAGTATGTCACTGCCTCCAACTCTTCCCACTGATTCAACTTGAGCATCTGGTCCGATAGTTCGAGCAGATTCATGAATTGAACTCAAGTTTTCTGCAGGAGATTTCGATAAATTACTTTGAGAAATGAGAGGCAGCAAGGAAGAAGAGGAAGAAGAGGCAGAGGACGCAGAAGATGCTGAATTAACAGAGTGAAGGCTTAAATCAATTGAAGAGGATTGTGTAGGTGTAACTGATGGCGAATAACTTTTAGCAGAAGAAGGAGTGCGAAGATCAACAGGTGAGCTGAAACGAACCGATGGTCTGTTTTCTCGAATATTGTCAACAGGTTCATTGTTGGAAGGTTCAATTTCCATAAGGGTTGAAGAATTCAAGACTTCTTCGTTTATTGATTTAAGGGCTGTAGATTTAGAATAGGAACGAGAGCTATTGACAGAGCTTGAACTGTTTTCTTCAAGTTTATCATCAGATTTAGACTTTCTCTTCACAGATTTAGAAACTGGCTTCTTTTTGTAGCCATCTTCATTTGTAAGAGGAATACTTTCATTCTCTAAACTAGAGCCTGGACCGGTTCCTTTGGAGCACCATTTCCAATTGGGGTGTTTCTTGAAATGAGCTTCTTTAACTTTAAATGCAAGATCGTTGTATTGATCTTTCTCTTCTTTTTTCAGACTATACCACCATTCACCGAGAATCTATAAATGAAAAAAAAACAAATGAGCCAACATAAATCAAAAGTATATGTAGGTAGAATACATCAATCAGTAATTAAATTGTATTGTATAGCAAAGAATGAAAAAAAGAAACAATTATATTGTTACTTGGAATTCAAGCAATTGCTATAATACTTGAAATATTAACTTACTTTGCTAACAGTACGATTATCACTGTTTGGATGGCGTTGATGAACTAAAGCTCTATGTCGTTTAGAAAATATCATAAATGCATTCATAGGCCTTCGGATATGTTGTTTGGATGTAGATTTACTCTTCTTTAAGTTTGCGTCATCGTCACCATTATCTCCATTATTATTACACGCTTCTTCACCTTTCAAATCTTTAGAGCCATCTTGTAATGCACTGCAAGATTTTGATCGACGTCGTGCAACAGATATTACATTTGACAATTTATCAATAATCATATTTGAGTCATCTTCATCATTTTTATTTTCAATACTATTTGAAGTAACGGTTGTAGTTTTCGTTGTTGTGGTCGTCGTTGATGACGATAATGATGTAAATACTTCATCATCTTCATCTTCTCCTTCACCTCCACCACCATCTACATCCAATATTTCATCTTCATCTAGGTCATTCTCAGAATCACTGAATTGTGGAGGTGCACTTCGAGGAGGTGAATTAGGTCCACTTGGTGATATATTACGGTGATAAGATAATGAGTGATTATTATTACTATTATGCCATGGAAATAAAGGCATTTCATGATTAGATGAAGATGTTACAGATGATGGCGATGAACCTGTTATTCAAATAAATAGATGAAATAAAGTAAAAATCAGTTAGATGTGAGTAAAGCTAAGTCATTATCATTGGTGAATAAATTTAAAAACTAACCATTAACACTATTCGGTAAAAGCCATTCTTTAACACGATGATCATGGTGATAACTATGAGTAACATGATTGTTACTATCCACAGTAGCATTAATGTTATTGGTGGCATTTGATAAATCATTGTTTATTTTATTATTATTATTATTATTGTTACCATTATTATTCAAACAGGATCTTGATTCTGCATTTTCACTATTCCACCTTTCTTCGATACGTCCTATGGAATTAGTCAAATTATTTCCGTCTATATGCAGCGCTTGCACGAAATGAGTTCCTGTTGGCATTCCTTTTGTGGATGCAAGGGATGATTCCGATGACAATTGTGATGGTGATGGTGAGTTTACAGATAATGTTGCAACAGGTAATGTTGTACTTTGACAACTTTGTACAGTATGGGGAGACAAAGGGATTGAATTTGGCTGTCCAAGGAAAAATGAGTTTTCATTACTAATAAGTCTAGCTGCCATTAGACCAGATCTAGCTCCAGCAACTAAGCTCAATTCATTAGGTTTAACAATAACTGTTTGGTTTCCCGCTTTAGGTGAGGTACGTAGTGAGATCAACATGTTGGCAGCTTCTGTCGTATCGAATGATGAAGAATAACACGAAGATGCAGTCGATGATGCTGTTGATGATGTTGTTGATGATGCTGTAGATGAAAATGATGATGAAGCTCCAGAAGAGGCCGTAGAAGCAGAGACTGGTGCAGCAGCAGCAATAGAAACAGAAACAGATGAAGCAACAGCTAAATTAACAATTTTTTGAGATTCGGATGAATGCAAACTCAAACCATTCTCTCCGAATACTTGATTTCGAGGAAAATTGTTTTGAAGAGGAGATTTTGCTGTAGGAGTTATTGGTGGATTTGGCAATGGACTTGACACTGCTTTCATTCCTTTCATATCATTAGATACCGAAGATGTAGCCATGTTAGATGCTATCATACTCGATGATACTGTTACTGCACTTGGATTCCAACCAATAGTAGAACACCCTGGTGAATTTGAAGTTGACGATGATTTCATACTTAAATGTCTGGAGCAAAAACCTCTCCTCTGAGACTCTTTGGTACAATCTTCCTTCGAACATAATCTTCTCCATTGTTTACCATTGAATTTTTTACGGATTCCACTTGCTGAAGAAACAATGTCACCTTTTTTATATTTATTTAAATATACAAGAGCGATGTTATGTTCTGAAGATAGTGGTACATTATCAGATCCCGTTAAGCTCGTTTGGTCAGTTGTAAGCTCTAAAGGAGAGTTAGGAGCTGCCAGTGAAAAAAGTTGATTAGTATAAATCCGAAAAAAATCACACAATACAGCTACAAATGCGGGTTTGACCAAGACTTAAAGTTTTATTCATTTTTTGTTTTCTCTATTTCACGTTCTTTCTTAATGCAACGTAGGTGTCAAACGCACTTTTAGTAGCTGATTAGCAATTGAGTATAAAATAAATTTAGAAAAATACCTGAATCGATCAGATGATTAATAAAGCGAACAAGAAACTTTTTTGTGGCCATTATCAATGGAAGTTGACTGAGAGTGAAACAAAAACAAAGAATGTAATACAAGGGTGAAAGAAATTGCAAGTGAATCTCTGGTTTCCCACTGACTAAACAGTGGCTCCACCATTCAATCAGTGAGACTCCTATGGTTGAGGGTCCGTTGTTAAACTTCACCAAGCAAGGTAGGTTGAATAATTGTACTGTAACCGGTTTTTTAGTGGAAACCTGTTTTTTTAAGATGTAAATTCTGGTCTCTTGCTTTGTTACTTTATGCACCTGGTTTAGGTATTTTTTAAACCTGGCTGTTTACTCTGAGTCGCCTTGTTAGGCCTTAAACTTACAAGACAGACAAAAATTCTGATCCCATTCAATAAACATAATTTAAGTCAATACAGTTGACAGTAAAGTACACAGACACATTCCATACCTACAAACACTCAGGTAGAATGTCGCCGGTAAAATTAGTGAGAAACTCGCCAATCGGAGCAACAAAGAGTTATAAAGGTTTATTACTTGTTCACAAAATTTGACCATTTTTTGTAATCCTCAAAATAAACAAAAGCTGTACTTTTTTTTGCTGCTTCAACACAACTTTGCATCAACTTTTACTCAATCAAATTTTGCAAGAATGCAATCATTTTTTTAATAAATTATCCCAACAATAAAAATTTAATTGAACAATTTTTTGTAAAACTTTTCATCCATTTTCAAATGCATTTGCATTTACTTTTGCTGACTATTTAGTAATCAACATTTTTTCACTTCATTCTGGGGTTACATTTTTGTGCTAAAATGGTTAAAGATGCTCAAAGTGTCCTAAAATGACTACTAAACTAGTTTCTTGTACAATTAAATTGTCTTGACCATTTTTACCTTTCTTTGTCTCGTTTTTTATGCAGTTTTTAGCTTTTGCAAATGCAAAGGTAACATTTTTTTGTTACAATTTGATGAAAGTTTGATTGAAAAAAAGTGTAAATCATTTTCTTCATTCTCAGTAAGCTGCAAATCAATTGACATTGAATTGAGAAATGGTTACTCATTTGACAGATCTTCAACAAATCTGATTAATTGGTAGTACAATGAAACAAAAAAAAATCAAGTTAATTGTTGTCGGAGAAAAGAAGACAGAATTAGATTTAGTGACAAAATTTTCTGTTGAAATGAAAATTGTTCAATAACTCAAAGTTTATGATCATTTTGTGATCCTTGATTAGCAAAAAAAGATAAGAAAATAAATTTTCTCACTTAAGAGTTTAAGATGAAGGAAGTTTGTTTGGTGATGTAATTTGCAAATCAAACCTAGGGCTCGATATAATTTGCCCGGGTTCGTGAGATCTTAACAATCAACATTGACTCAACGTTTCCTTTTAGTTGGGCAGACAATAGTTCAATTGGATGACTGAATTGCTATGGTACATTCGTTATGTATTGTTTTTTTCCCTTACATTTGTTTCTCGTCCTGTGAGAAGATCAATTAGACATTACTTAACGTTCAACTTTCAATTACCTAATTGGATTAAATACATAATTTCGTTATTTTTTTACTTAAACCTAAATATAGCATATTAATAAAGGTTATACCACCCAAAATTTTGTTATAAATTCAACAAAAATTTGACTGAAAAAAAGAAATTGCAATTTAACTGAAAATATGCTGATGATGATTGCTTTGAAAATTGCATGTAAAGTCAACCCAAATGAATAAATGAGCAACCTTTTTTGTTTATTATGCAACATGTCATCATAGAGGTTTGGAATTGAGTTTATTCAATGATTGACCCATTATGGTCAGGAAAAATCTTACAAATAAATTATCGAACAATTCTAACATGGTGAAAATGGGAAAAATTGAGACATGTGTCATGTTACAATCATTTAACTAGTGTAATCTGACCTAAAGCAAAACAACTTATTTTCAGCCAACACATATAAAGCTAACAGGCTTGAAACAGATAGTATAGAAGAAGAAACTAGCTTTACAAATACAACTGGTAACAAAAATGTAGAGAATGTATAAATGAAAATTACAACTAATTGATGAAAGTATAAAAACAAATTGTGCTTCTTTCAACATTGGGTTGACACATGAGAAATGATGAAAAATATGAGACAAAGAAAGTGATAAGTAAATTAAAACCATAAGGAGGCAAATGAAAATCAAATTGAACACACACACAAATAAAGAATGAAGAAAATGAAGAAAGAGAAAGTGAAGAGAGTTGAAAGAGGAGAATGAAAGAGATTTTAAAGAGACTACCAAGAGAAAGAAAGAGAGAAAGAATGGAGTTGTTTTTTCAGGGTATAAAAAGCATACAAGCAATGGATTGACAACAATGTTTACAATATAAACCATGAAATATAAAGGTTATTTTGATGCTTACCATTTGTTTTGATGAATCCAGTTTCATTGAGGATAATCTCCAATTGATTTTGGATAATATTTAACATGATTAAGGTTTAAATTAACATTTTACTTTCAGGTTTTTAACTACATAAATTGATGAACATTATTCTGTGCAAAAGAATTTATCTTTTTTTATCTTCTAAGCGCCATCTTATGGATTTATACTAATCAAATATTAAAACGATTTGAAACCGTTAGATGGCAGAATCAGATTGTAATCCAAAAATAATTCAAAAACAAGTGAAAACAAAGTCTTTTGTTGTAATTCACATTAAATTGTGAATTGAAAATGATAAATTCACCGATTTTCATCACTCTCATCAATTGTACTTTAATATTGTTGAAAAGTTTATTGTCATCAAAATGAATCATTGTTTTAATATACAATTTTATTGTTCTGTAAAACTATTTGTGAGTCTGGTTGACTAAAACTGTCTGGTTTATTCATCAAACTAAGCAACATTTTGGTTGATTTTATATACAATTTTAAATGCTATCATCTTTATATTTGAAGTTTAATTTCCAAAGCAATACATAAAGATATTTATTTTATCAATTCATGCAGTTGAAGTGTTGTCCAGTTGAACAGAAAGGAATGCTGAATCAATGTTTTGAAATTTACTGTTGTTGCTGTTTAGTTGAGCATAAAATCATCTGAAGTTTTAAAACTTAACCATCCGACGTCTTAAACCTTCAAATCATAAGATACAAATGAGGGAAAATGTGACAAATAATGAAAACAGAATGAAACTGGAAAATATTTTTGTTATCAAAATCATCCAGACACCTCAATGTAACTCTATGTAATAGTCGAATCAGTTGTTGGGTTGGACTGAGAAACTTCAGAGATATCTGTCTTCAAGCCAATGCTAAAGATATCACGAATGAATCGATGGATGAGTAGAGTTGTTAAGCGCATAAAATTAACAATAATCATTTGACAGTTTGATCACTGCACAGACTTTTGCACTTCCCTACTTTCATCTGTTGAAGCAGCACTTTCAATATTTTGTCGTTACTATCATTATCCATGATTTTTTTGTAACCCAGCCAAAATCATTTGCGGTCATAAAACGAAAGTCCTTATTGGCCGAAGTCATCTAAAATGAAATAATGGAAACAGCATATTGAAGTTAGGAATATTCACGTCATGGTCAGAGATGTAATCATTTTGTAATTTCGATGTAAACTCTACAAGTTGAACATTTCTATTTTTATTTCCTTATCAAGACTGGAGATTTTAAAATGACTTACTGCGATTGATTTGATTGAATATAATGACAACAAGCATACGAATTAAACAGCTGGCAATAGCTCGAGACATTCACAAATACAATACATACATGCGATGCAGTTGAAAAATTTAAGAAATAAAAAATGAACGGCAGAATCAGTTCAAAAATGAAATTTAATAGTAAAAATAAATTACATAAAATAAGATATACAGCAAAAAATTCAAGAAGAATGGCCATTAAAAGCATAATCATGATTGTGAATAATTACAAATTTTGAAGACGACTTTCATTGCTTATGTATTTTGAAAATTTGTAATCGATATTTTCAAAGGATACATGTTTTGGAACACTTCTTCTGGCGATTAGAAATGCAGTCATGGTATTCTTGTAAACTGTAGGGGATGAAGTTATAGGAAATCGGAATTGGAACCGAATATCAGCAACAAAATCTTTCAATTTTGATGATATAACTCCAGTTATATCTTCAATATTTGATTCTTCATCATTCAGGGATAATCCAATAGACCAAAGAACTCTAGTAAATGAATCATCGGGCTTGTCAACAAAATTTTTACTGGTTTCGAGTATATCATAATCAAATGCACTTAAATGAGTATATCCCAAGCCAACGACATCTTCGAGCCTCTCCGCTAAAATCTTGATTTCTCCTTTAACTCGGCCGAAATAGTATGAGGGAAAACAGCCAACCAGCAATACAAAATGTTTATAAGAATTGAAAAACTCGTAAGGTGCGAATAAAGACTCCCAGAGTAATCTGTTTGAATTAACTTTATCACAAATCATTTTGGCACGTTTGAGTTCTAGTTGGAAGATATAAGCATGTGAATTTGTTACACTTTTGCAAACATTTCTATATTCTTTGATCGGCGCCAGAATGAATAGCTTTGTCATCTTTGGATTATCATCAAAATTTGAATCGTCAATCTCTAAATTTGAGTCAAACATAACAACAGGACGTGACCAATCGTATGAAGCATAATAATTGAAGAATTCTGACATCAATTCTTCAATGGTGGAACTATTGGAACTTATGTAGATTTTGGACAATAAAATGGCTAATCCAACACCACTTACGAATCCAAATATATTGAAATATATCTTCCTACGTTTAGCCCAGTACTTTATTGCACGTAAAGTATCAGAATATAGTTTCGAGTTAGTTGCTTTGTATATTGCATAAGACGTATTTAACGAGATTAATATCTCTCGACTCTGGCCATCAATTCTCTGTAAAATTGAATCATCAGAGAGAGCTTCATAGATGTTATCCGGAATCAGATCATCAGGATATCTAGCAACTGTGATATCGATTTTAATATCGCCATAATTTAATTGTATCAGGTTAATATGCATACGATGTAATTGTACATCATCAAAATCAGGTACTTTCGACAAAGCAGGCGGAAGATCCGAGATGACATGAAAAGTATGAACACAAGCGGGTATCACAATTAATAGATCAACATCACTGTCTAGCAGGGCTGCATTAAGTAGGTGAGAGCCAACAATGATGACTTTGGCTTTACTTTGTAGTCGAATTTCATTCCTCGGAATGTTTTCCTTTAAAAGACACCCAACAAGTATACTGTTGACGGTACGTTCGATAAGTTGAATTGCATTCACTATTTTCCTCGAATGGTGAATGCATTGTCTCGCTGGACTTTTCCGTAAAATTTTTTCAACATCTCTTACTTCAGTTTCGGGCATCACTTAAATTAAAAGAATATAAACATTAAAGTACAAGAGTAAAACGTCGATCGATCACTGATTGCTAACAATAAAGATTTTGTAAATAAAAGCGATCAGAAACCTTTTGGAAATCAAAATTAGCAACAATTTAGAGTCGCCATCTATCTTAGAATCCGAAATTTAGGCATGAATCAACTTTAAATAACTATTTTAAGGCTTGACCATTCAATTTGAAAGTCATGCTTTGTTTTTAAATCCGATTAGTGGTGGAAATAAACAGATTTGGTACAAATGACTCAAATCCCCTGATTATCAGGGCCTATTAGTCAAATCTTTTAGCCTTAGGTTTTTAACTTGATAAATTCACTATGAAAAGACTATCGTTAATCAGAGCTTAGATATTGGAAGCACCAATTTCACGTTTTTTAATTTTACAATTTACGATATCAACTGATTTCGCAAATTTTATGATTGGTATTTCACGAGAGAGATAATTCAATTGAGTTGTTAATAAATGGTAGTGAAATGAATTTGGATTGAAATTAACCTCGCTCAATAGGGACTATTGATAAATTAAGCTGCTCAGTGTTCATCTCTATGAGAAAGTACTGATTGCTTTTGATCTAAATCTAGAATCTTCTCGCCTTCTTTGGTCAAGAATAAGATTTAAATCATTGAGACATTTGTAAAGTATGAGTCAAACTGTTTGACCAAGCCGTGTTTATTGCTCAACGAATGATGAGCCAAATCTGAAATCAGCGTATCGTTTCTATGACAACAAATGTAGACGCTAAAATACTTGGTCCTTATTGGTTGTGATCCGTTTGATTTCTAGCAGCTTAAATCACCTGACTTATTTTCCCATTGTTTCTGACTGTTCTTTATTCAATTTAGTTTCAGACATTCGTCTTTTAGATCATCCCCGGTATTTTTGTTAACTACAGAATTCGTGACATCTTCTGAATTGGCGATCAAATTCATCCACATCAATGGCTACCATACCTTTCCAAATCTCCAATCTTTTGGAGAAGGTAAATACACGTTATTTTTTCTAGGGATATTTTAACTAGTACAGTTTCTTTTTAACCTTGATATGGAAATATATTCAGTTCCAATGTATGATGATTATGATTTTACTTTATTTATCCTGCTTTTCATGTCCTATTTCAGATGACTTCAGCCGATAAAGATTTTCGCTTTATGGCCACTAATGATTTGATGGCTGAACTACAGAAAGATTCAATTAAATTGGATGATGACAGTGAACGAAAGATTGTTAAAATGCTTCTCAAACTCTTGGAAGACAAAAACGGAGAAGTCCAAAATCTGGCTGTCAGATGGTAAGTTTTATTTTTCATATTGTCATCTTACACATTGTAATACTGGTAACATGCTCTTTTTAAATCATCTAGTTTGGGACCATTAATCAATAAAGTCAAGGAATCACAAGTGGAGATAATCGTAGAAACACTTTGTACTAATATGACCTCTGATAAAGAACAACTTCGTGATATCTCCAGTATTGGTTTGAAAACCGTTATCTCGGAACTACCACAGTCAAACACCACAATTGCTGCGACTATTTGTAAGCGCATAACATCAAAGCTTACAAAAATAATCATAGTGGTTAGTATTCTATCTTTTTGAATTGCATTTACTTTATCAATCTCATGCATATTTCAGAGTGATGTCACTGTTCAGTTGGAGGTGCTCGACATCTTAGCTGACCTCTTGAACCGGTTCGGGCCTCTTCTGGTTTCATTCCACCCTCAAATAGCTGATTCCTTGTTACCCCTTCTTGACAGTCCCCGGTTAGCAGTACGTAAGCGGTCCATCTCTGCGCTAAGTTTCTTGGCAGCAAGCTGTAGTCTCCCTCTGTTCAACAAGATGGTTTTAGTTTTATTTGAACAAATGGGACAACATCAACGAACGATGAATGTATCAAGTTTAAGAACTTATATTCAATGTATTGCTGCGATCAGTCGTCAAGCTGGCCATAGATTTGGTGAACACTTGGAACATGCTATGCCTTTAGTTTTGCAATTCTGTGAATCTGAGGACGATGAGTTGAAGGAATTCTGTATCCAAGCCTTCGAATCTTTCGTCCGTCGATGCCCTAAGGAAATAACTATCCACATCCAAACTATAACTGCAAACTGTTTAAAATATCTCTGTTATGATCCTAACTATAACTACGAAGATGCAGACTCTGAGGAAATGGAAATGGATCAAGATGATAATGGTGACTCTAATGAAGAGTATAGTGATGATGATGACATTAGTTGGAAGATTCGGCGAGCTTCGGCAAAATGTCTTCACGCTGTTATTTCCACACGTCATGACATGGTGGTTGATTTTTACACTTATATTTCTCCTGCATTGATAGCTAGATTCAAAGGTAATATCATCTTTCTGTTGTAACTCTTGTATTAATTTATTTTTTTATACTATAGAAAGAGAAGAAAATGTGAAAGTTGATATATTCAATGCTTACATTGCTCTATTGAAACAAACTCGTGGTGGAAATCTCGGATCTGGAATAGCTGATCAACAGAATCCTATTCATCTTCTTATGCTACAAGTTCCAGCAATCGTCAAATCACTTCATCGACAATTACGTGAGAAAAGTATCAAGACACGTCAGGGATGTTTCTCCTTGCTTTCTGAACTTATCAACGTTTTACCAGGCTGTCTTCGTGACCATACCGAAAGTTTGTTTCCTGGTATTTTATACTCTCTTGGAGACAAAAATTCCAATTCAACTATGAAAATCGATACTTTAATTTTCTTGAGCACAATGATTCGTACTCACCCACCCCAGATTTTTCATCCACATATTCATATTTTATTACCGACTGTCATTACATGTGTTGTAGATTCTTTTTATAAGATTTCTTCTGAAGCTCTGGCTGTGCTTACTCTCATGGTGAAAGTGTTGCGACCTTTAGATTCAATGGACGAATTTCAATTCGTTCCTTATATCCCAATAATCTATGAAAACACTTACAACAAATTGAATACAGCTGATATTGATCAAGAAGTTAAAGAACGAGCTATTACTTGTATGGGAACCATTATTAGTACATTTGGTGATTGTATGCAAGAACAGTTAAAAACTGTTTTACCTTTGTTGGTGGATCGTCTGCGAAATGAGATCACAAGACTGACGTGTGTTAAAGCTTTAACAGAAATTGCCAGGTACATTTGACTAGTCCGACTAATTTGAGTAACCTTTATTAGTAGAATTATCTAGCTGTATTTTAACTTGTTTTTTCCCTGATTTCTCTTAGTTCAAAATTTCATATTAACCTGGCTGCATTGTTACCAGAAGCTGTCCCTATTTTGGCATCATTTTTACGTAAAAATCAGAGAACTTTGAAACTGCAAACTTTACATCTTTTAGACACTTTGGTTAGAAACTATGGCGAAAACATTGGTACCGAAGCAATCAATATTGTTTTAAACGAGGTCACCCCGTTAATCAATGAGAGTGATTTACATATCTCACAACTCACCCTTTCTCTGCTCACTTCATTGACCAAGTCATATCAAGCTTTTCTTCCCGTTATTCCTCAACTTATTTTACCCGAAACGCTTGTTTTGGTCAAAAGTCCTCTCCTCCAAGGTACTGCCTTACAGTCTGTCCTAGAGTTTTTCCAAGCTTTGGTAGGAAGCGGTTTCCCTGGCCTGGACTATTTCACTTTGGTTAACCAACTTAATGCACCCATCTACATGGTTAATCACCAAGGTGAACAATTGCATCCTCCATTACACAAACAAGCTTATCATTCAATTGCCAAATGCATTGCTTCTATATCTATAATTGATCATAAACGAAGTCTTAAAGCTGTTCGCCATTTCATCCGGGATATCGAAGAGCACTCTCATTCACCTTGCATTCAAATGTTTGCCCTTTTAACTATTGGAGAAATTGGTAAAAATGTTGATCTGTCATCTATTCCCGAATTGAAGGAACTTCTTATCAGTGCTTTTTCTTCGCCCAGTGAAGAGGTTAAATCTGCTGCTTCGTTCGCTCTCGGTAGCATAAGTGTGGGTAATCTGAATGAATACTTGCCTTTCCTTCTAACAGAAATAGAGAAAAAACAAAAAGGACAATATCTCTTGTTACACTCTCTTAAGGAAATAATCAGCTGTCAATCAATCAATGATCGTATGATTCAATCACTGGCTCCATTTTTGGATGTTATTTGGGAGCTTCTCTTAAAACATTGTGAATGCCCAGAAGAAGGTACTCGCAATGTGGTTGCTGAATGTTTAGGCAAATTAACATTGATGAATCCCGAAGTTTTACTTCCAAGACTTGAGACATTTTTGCGTCATCCTTCACCTTGGGCACGAAGTACTGCAGTTACAGCCATGAAGTTTACCATATCAGACCAAAAACAAGCTATTGATCCTCTTCTTCGATCTTCTATTGGAAAATTCCTTCACACACTTAAAGATTCTGATATGAACGTTCGTCGAGTTGCTTTGGTTGCCTTCAACTCAGCTGCACACAACAAACCTTCCTTAATTAGAGATCTTCTTGAAGAAGTGTTGCCTCAGTTATATGAAGAAACTAAAGTTAAAGTAAGCAAGAAATGTGATATATTTTATAGATCATCTTACTAATTGTTTAAACATCATTTTTAATTTCAGAAAGAATTCATCCGAGAAGTTGAAATGGGTCCTTTCAAGCATACTGTTGATGATGGGCTAGATATTAGAAAGGCTGCTTTCGAATGCATGTACACACTGTTGGATTCCTGTTTGGACAAGATTGATATTTTTGAATTCCTTAATCATGTTGAAGATGGTTTGAGGGATCATTATGATATCAAAATGCTCACTTATCTCATGCTTGTCAGACTTTCGGTTCTTTGTCCATCTGCAGTTCTTAACCGTAAGATTCCTCTTTCCCTTCTAGTTTTTCAATTAAATATTTATAAATTTAAATATCTATTTTTTCAGGTTTGGATCGGCTTATTGAGCCATTGAAAGCAACGTGTGAGATTAAAGTTCAACAAAATGCAATCAAACAAGAATTTGAAAAGCAAGATGAACTAAAACGATCGGCTTTAAGAGCTTCATTAGCTTTAACATCAATCCCAGATGCAGGTATTTAATAAACATCAGTTTACAAATCTTTACTCCTTTAATTGGATCTAAATACTAAAAGATTACTAATCAACTTTTTTCTTTTTCTTTCTAGATAAAAACCCCGCTGTCAGTGATTTTCTTAATCATATTAAAAATTCACGTGAACTATCTAAATTGTATGAACAAATTCAGAAAGATTCGTCTGCTACTGTTGATAATACTTCACCCATGGAGATATCATGATGAGGATTCAAATGCAATTTGTGATGAACGATGAACTTTAGTAAATTTTGATCACAAGAAAAATACATCTGAAAAATTTTGATAATCGTCATTGTAAAAAATAAATAAGTAAGATCAAAATAAGCCACAGTGTCAATTTTTTGTGAAATTATACCCATTCGTGATTTTTTGTACATGACTTCATCAAAGAAACATTTGCCTTATGTTTCACCCAGATAAGCTAAAAGCTAAATCTACACTCTCAGATCTTCGGAAAAAAATTTCAGTTGTATTCAAATCAAGGGGATTCATTGAAAATATTAATGATGAATTATCCTAATTTAAAGTATTCAATTTAGATTCTCCAAAGCATATCTTGAAAGTAAAGACATTCGTATCCTAGTTTAAACCACGCCAGTAAAAAGGTCTTGTTAAATCATTTAAACTGTAGTTTTTCGGATTGTCTTTTTGTGTTTTAAAAAGTATATGCTTATGGTGATTAAAAGTCATGGTGTGGGTTGTATGAGTTCTTCCTGAACTTTATTAGAAATCTCTGAATACATCGGATTAATATTATACAAGTATCAAGTTTTCTAAAAGAGATGGAGACACATTAGGAACATGTGAGCTCAACTCTTAGCAATTTGCATGTCGATCACACATTTATAAACACTGTAATCCAATCGGTAAATAAATTTACTGTTAATTCAACTTAAATTATTATTTTGACCTCTTCACTATTTTTGACTTAGCGTGCTTTAAATTCAATCATGTCAGACAAAGCTCAACAAATGGTCCAAGATGGTATCAAAGATCTCATTGAAAAAATAGATAAAGATCATCTTCGTAAAATTCAGGTTCGTTTTTATTTTTCCTTGTTTTAACCTTGTTTAAATTTTATTTTTATCATGTTTCTTTCAGGGTGAAATGCACAGATGTGCTGCTAAATGCTGTGATCAAACTGATTTGAGTCTCAATGAAGTTCACAATTGTATTTCAAAGTGTTCAAGTGAAGTTTCCAAAGCTCAAAATTACATGTCCAATGAGCTTGCTAACTTTCAGGTAATTATTATTTATTTACGAATGTTTGAAAAACATAAGAATAATTTAGATGTCTGTTTAGCAGAAAAAAATGTCTAATTGTTTTCATATATTCCATTACAGAACCGATTAGAGCGATGTGCTATGCAATGTCAGGACGACATCAGAGACAAAATAGGACCAAATGCCAGCGAAGGTGATGTTGACAAATTTAGGAACAAATATGAAGATTGTATCGTTAAATGCGCCGATAGTCATGTTAAATTACTTCCAACCATGTTGAAACGAATGAAAGAGATGATGGGCAAAGGAAATTACTCTGGCAGTGCTTGATTAATTTTTCAAATATTATAGTTTAACTTGAATTAATAATCAGGCTTGAACAAAGATGAAATTCAATAGACAACTCAACTTTTCTGCCATTTAAACAATTTAATTTTTATTCAAGAATTTAAATTTACTAGTTTTCCTAATTAAGTTTTTAAAAAATTTGGGATTTGAAGTTACACTCAGGATTCCCAAGTAGTCGGTCATTTTTTCAATTTTCAAATTTGAATTTCATCAAATTGTTGTAAGGTTGTAAAAATTAAATTGAGTATTAAAAAACTAGCTTCAAATGAAATTTTTATATTCGCCAATAAGTACCATTGATTGATAATGTTTTTCGTTTTTTTTCATTTCTAATTTTTGTTCATCCAAAAGCTGAATCCAACACTTGGAAATATGTAAATTTTCTTTCATATAAGTAAATAGTGGTCCAGAATAATTTGCATCCAATTGGTCGCTGAGAAAATGTTCTGGGTGGCAAACAGCATTCACCAATTTATAGAAAGCATGATTTGTATCCACTAATTTTTCTTTGTTAATGAAATTCAATTGAATCTTGTGGGATGATCTGAAGGTTTTCAATCTTTTTAATCCATTTTTTTTATCTTCTATAGCCAACGTTAGTTGTTCATCCACTCCGAAATTAATTGCTGTGTTTAACACAATTGAAGAACATTGACCTGAATTATAAATTAGAAGGTCTTTCGTGCTGAATTCCTCACGAAAATCGATCGCTATAATGTTGTTATCTTTCGTTAAAAACACAGCCAAGGCCATTTGCGGATACACCCGAGTTTTAACAAAGCTGGAACATAGATTGGCACCAAAGTATTCATTGAAAAGTTTTACAAAATCGTTTGCAAATTTGGTATCCTCTATAAGTTTCTTGAAACCAATGCTTCCACGTGGATGCAAAAGCGTTTCATTAAATTTATTTCTTTTGAAAACATCAAATTGACTCCATGGTGCATCCTAAGGAGAAGAGAAGACAAGACAAGAAAATTAAACTTACTGTTCTGGGTTAAACTAAAACATTCACCTTTGACAGCAAATGCTTTTCGCAAAGCATTCGGACATTCATTGTTTGTAAATCACAACAGCATATGAACCAAAAAGTAAAGAGAGTAGTAGAGACTAGTGTTGGGTTTTGCTCAAAGATTAGCTTTGTTGTTGGATAATGGCCAAAGAGTAAAGGAGTTGGTCACTTGGTGCTAGAAGTCAGGAGTTGGTTTTAAGGAGGGAATAATGAAAAAAACGAAGATAATCGCTATTCTCACAAAAAATGCTGTGTATAGTGAGGATCTATTCTCAGAGAGACAACTTGGGAATCCTGAGACTCAGGTCCTGATTGTATCTGAATAAATAGTCTTATGCTTATAGGCAAATAGGGCAGCAAATATTGTGAGCAATAACTATTTTGATGTTTGTTTTATTTCTTATTTCATTTAATTGTGTACCTTGGAATTTATTAAGTTTAATAATGATAAATAATATCTTGATAAGTGTTAATAAGTTAATCTAACTTAATAGATTAAGTTTAATCAATATGGGTTGTTGCTGTGTAAAGATAAAAAATGAAGAAAGACAAGAATTGGAGGTATCAACACAAAATAATGGGTTAGTTATTCACCATTTATTGAAAAATTGAATATAAGATTTTTATTACTTTTATTAATTGTGTTTTATCTACTCCTGATTATTCCATTAAGGATCTTACCCACGGACGAAACAAATTTGTTGCCTCAAGTGAGACATGGAGATAGCAATAAGCTTTGTATGGTTATTGATTTAGACGAAACGTTGGTTCATAGTTCTTTTAGGCCCATAGATAAGGCCGATTTTATAGTTCCTGTTGAAATTGATGGCACGTTACATCAAGTTTATGTTGCCAAGAGGCCTTATGTTGATGAATTTCTACAGAAGATGGGCCAACTTTACGAATGTGTCTTATTTACCGCCAGCCTAGCCAAATATGCCGATCCAGTTGCCGATCTCTTGGATAAATGGAATGTTTTTAGAGCACGACTATTTCGTGAATCATGTGTTTTATATCGTGGAAACTATGTTAAAGATCTAAGAAAACTTGGTCGAGATTTACATAGAATTGTTATTGTTGACAATTCTCCGGCTTCTTATATTTTTCATCCTGATAATGCAGTGCCTGTTGCTTCCTGGTTTGATGATGACTCTGATACAGAGCTCCGGGATTTAATACCATTTTTTACTGATTTAAGTACATGCGATAATGTATATAAAAAGCTTCGAAATGCCACCAGTGAACCTCAGCTGCAGCAACCACCGACGCAGACAAAAGTAGTGAATGAATTTTTTTTCATTTCCCAGGATTAGCAACATGCATCAAGCTTATTAACAAATGTACTAAGATTTTTTATTTTTTATCATTAATAGCTGAAATTTTCAGGATAACTGTATTGGAAATCAAAATAAGGTCCTTTAAATAATAAAAGCACAAAAATATCATTCAACGAGCATAATTTATTTATCAGTTTCTTTAGAACAAACATACATATGAGTAATCATCATCGTCTACTCATAAATAAAACATTGGTGAGTTTTAATTTCAATGTTAATTGTCTAAAATTGAGCTATAAGCTAAATCCCAATAATGTTGGACACAATGTTTTTTAAAAAATTGTCGGGCAAAACTTTCATTGGGACTATTTTTGAATCTTATTTCGCCGAAAGCTCTATTCTTAACCATACCCTCCCAGATCAATAGACATTTGTTCTGAATCTTCTTTTCAGAGTCTGATTCATCTGAAACAGTTTCTTCGCTCCATTTGATTCGCTGAAGCATCAATTTTTTGAACTTTCTCTGTTGCGAAGGTCCTCCTTCAACAACAATAACATTTACATTTTTAAATAATACGATAACACCGGTCATCGTAAGTTGTTTAGCATTCACCTCAATTTTGAATTTCTTGGCTGGATTTGATAAATTTAAAACACGATAAACGGCCACATGAACTCCTAAACTTGTGTCTTCTTTCACTTTCTTCAATTTCTTTTGTCTTTTTTGATCAAAAGTTAATTTTCTAGCAGCATTAGCTTCCTCGTGTGCCTTTTGTCGTTTAGCCACCTGTTCTCCAACTTGAACGGCTACTTTAGTAGGATCGTTGATGGCTTCTTCTCGTAAGACTCTCATCATGTTGGACATTTTCACTTTTGGTTCTGGCGGCGGTTCCAATCCTAAACGTATCTTTTCTTGCTTCTCTTTGTATTCTTCTCTCCTATTCTGACGGCGTAATTTTTTGCGTTCTTTTTTAGTCAGAAACACTGGTAGTGGCATCACCTTGTTAGGTTCCCCAGGTGGTGTCATTTTCATAGGATGTTCTATAAGGTAAGTGATACCTTCATATTTTTCTTCCGGAGGCTTATCGCTGTTGATTGAGGCTCCATAACTACTGTCTTTCAACAAAAGACTATCCCACCATTCAATTTCAGGAATATCGTCTTCCTTATTTTCTTTCTTTGATGAAATGCCACTTAATATAGCGAGTCGTGCAGCAGATGAAATTCCAGTTTTCATAGCGACTTTCGCTATTTCTTCTTGCAACACTTCCAATTTTGCTTTTTGACGAATTTTCTGAGCAAGAGTCTCAAATTTTCCGGGTTCGTGGAATGCGAAACTACGTTTTGCTCGAACTGTGGGTTTGGTTTCAACCCGCGGATCGTAAAATTTACTGACTGCCTGAGTTCGTTCTTGAGTCAATTTGAATTGTACTTTTTTTTGAGCTCTAATATTTGCTTTTAAAGTGGGCATACGATGAGTCAGTTGAACTTCTTTACCAGTAATATCAACAGTTCTGCCTTCGTGGTCCAGAATTAGAGTTGCAGGCTTTGAAACGGTTTTGGTTCCAGGTACAATGGTAGATGTACGTCTCAACAGGTCAGAGGCAGCTAAGGTTTGACTCAAAGCAGCAATCCTGCTAGCAAGCTGAGCCTGGATCCGAGCTTTAATTTCATCTGCTGAGGGTCCAGAGCATGGCTGCCCAATCGCCATACTAGGCACAAAAAAAGAAGAGTTTGACATTTAATATTATCTAATGAAGAATTATTAGTTAATAAAGATCACAATGAAAGAATCACAAAGAAAGATCACAAAATCAAAGTAATACAAAAGATGTTACCATTAAATAAGTAAACAAATCTAGAAAGCTGATTTAGTGAAAAGTAAGAAGCTTAAACAATGAGTAGTTTAACTACTATAGTTACTCTTTGGGCTTAAACGATCCACTAAATTTTCTAGTTTAAAAAGTTACCATTTAGCGCCATTACCAATATTCATGCCTTTTAGCAAACTCTTTGCAAAAGAGCGCTCTGTTTAAAAGGCTCGAACAAGCTTCGTATTCTTGATCTGCGTTAAACAATAAATGAACTCTCACAAGGGAGGTGACCCACCTGGTACGATTTGATTCGGGAAATTTCATGATGAATCGATGGAAATAAGTTAAAAAAGATGTTTGGCGAAGTCATAGGACCTGCAAATTTTCGCTTCAATTTTTATTCCAATTTTAAGTCTAATTCAGACCTATTGTAATGAATTGAAAATGACAAAAACAAAGACATTGCACAACAAACTAAACAAAATGAATGTTAGTCTCAACTTGAGAATGGCAATTTTTCATAGTTTCAGTTCATTACAATGGGTCTGAATTAGACATAAAATTGGAATAAAAATTGAAGCGAAAATTTGCAGGTCCTATGACTTCGCCAAACATCTTTTTTAACTTATTTCCATCGATTCATCATGAAATTTCCCGAATCAAATCGTACCAGGTGGGTCACCTCCCTTGTCAGTGAGTGATTTTTGATAATATGTTTGCAAAGAACCATGGGATTGCATATCATGTATTTATGTGTAAAAATACATCAATTAATTGATTTAAAAGTGATTAGGGAGATAAACCATATTTTAAGCACGAAATCATCTTCTAATTATACTCAAGATCTAGACTCACCTTTCATGTGAGCTTATGTTTTTGTGCTTTTATTATTTAAAGGAACCTAATTTTGATTTCAAAGGCCATTTCATCCAGATAATTTCAGCCTTAATGATTTAAAAAGTCATAATCTTACAATTGTTAGGGAATTTAATAAGCTTTATACATGTTATTATTTGAATAATGCGCCTTAGCAATCACCTGGTTCTTGAAAGTACAGTCAAACCTCTCAAAAGTTGCATAGAAAGAGACAAAAGCAAGAGAAACTTCAAAGAAAGAAGAGACGAGTCTCCTCCTTTTTTAAGAGATTTTTGGTGACGCCATCTGCGAACGATTGGCCCGTTACTGCAACTTTTGAGAGGTTTGACTGTAATTGTTTTCCGTTTTCATCAACAAAATTGTCACAACAATATTATGAATTGTAATCTTCTAAATAACAATTGAAATTCGGTGAAAGTAATAATATATTTTTTAAATTCTTGGTAATTTCATGAAAGTAAGTCTTAATCTGATAAATAATCCCTTTTGTAATACTTAAGATTGATCATTTTTAAGGAAATAATTTGTGCTTGAATCCAGTTCTGTTTTAAATTTCTAATATTAATATTTCACTGACTTAAGTGATGTATGTTTAATTATTTTTCTCTTTTTCTTATTTCTAGTGTTTTTTTCTTCTTCATCCATGATCATCTGTAAATTCTCATTGTTCTCAGGAATGATTATTGAATACGACGTGAATTCAAAGAGTTCAAGGGAAGGTTTTAATGTCATTGTCAACTCAAGGCAATTTAAAATGTTTTGTTTGTGACAATGAGAAAGGATCTTTCATCTGTGCCACATGCATTTGTCAAGGAGAGTTTAAATCGTCCAAAATTAACTGTAAATTGGCTCAAGAAGCCAACGTTCAAGACCATGGAAGAGGATCAAGTAGTCTATTATCTCCAATTCAGTTCAAGTTTTCTGAAAAAAACTAGATTACGTCTGAATCTAATTGTACTCGATATCTTATCGTTGAACCATGGATTCCAAGAGATTCAATTGCTCGCGCCTACTGTCATTGGTTAGATAAGATGAAAGATCCTATTAAACTTAGTCCTATTGGCGAAACAGATGGACTGGATGGAAAAATTCGTGAAAATGATTCTTATCGAGTCTCTGCTGCCCTATCATACATCACTCAATTATTATCAGTTGCTTCCTACTACGTGGATGCTCGGTTCCCTAAACGGCTCAATTTTGTTGAATTTTATTCTAAGTGTAGTGATTCAGGGCCCGAAATTTTTCTTACTGACGAAGAGATACTCCATAAAGTTGCCAAATTAAATGCAAATCTAATTTATCTATGCCTTTCACAAAGAGTTGATCCCCGTTATTTGGAACCAACTTACACGGGTCATAATTTAACTTTACTTCTCAATCCAAACTTCAGTAATCTTGATCAAGCTGGGCCAATTTACATTGACTCGGAAACTCACCGCCGTGTTGAAGAATCCTTATATCCTGATTATATTCTGGTTGAACCATCTGAAAGTCAAGATTTTTCCGAAGCAGATGACATCTTCGATGAAGAATGTATTGGAAATGATTGGGAGTCAGTTACATCGTCCAATACAACTCCTTATGTGGATTTATTCACTTCACAACAAACTACTAGTATGACTGGTGGAATTATGTCATCAATTGCTGAAACTGCTCTTTATGCTGTTACATCGTTTATCCATAAAAAATGAATCATGATTCTCAATAATATTCATCATCAGCGTCATCACCAACCTTATCATTTCTGCTTTAAATATTTCAGGAAATTTTCAGGATAACTGTATTGGAGATCAAAATAAGGTCTTTAAATAATAAAAGCACAAAAATATCATTTAACAAGCATCATTTATGTGTCAGTTTCTTAAGACAAACTCACATATGAGAGATCGGCATCGTCTACTCATAAATAAAACATTGATGAGTTTTAATTTCAATGTTAATTGTCTAAAATTGATGAGCTATAAGCTAAATCCCAATAATGTTCGACACCATGATTTTTGAATAATTCTCGGGCAAAACTTTCATTGGGACTATTCTTAAACCTTAATTCTCCGAAAGCTCTATTCTTAACCATACCCTCCCAGATCAAAGTACATTTGTTCTCAATCTTCTTTCCAGGGTCTGATTCAGCTGAAACAGTTTCTTCGCTCCATTTGATTCGCTGAAGCATCAATCTTTTGAACTTTTTCTGTTGCGAAGGTCCTCCTTCAACAACAATAACATTTACATTTTTGTATAATACGATAACACCGGTCATCGTAAGTTGTTTGACATTCACCTCAATTTTGAATTTCTTGGCTGGATTTGATAAATTTAAAACACGATAAACGGCCACATGAACTCCTGAACTTGTGTCTTCTTTCACTTTCTTCAATTTCTTTTGTCGTTTTTGATCGACAGTTAATTTTCGCGCAGCATTAGCTTCCTCGTGTGCCTTTTGGCGTTTAGCCACCTGTTCTCGAACTTGAGCTTCTACTTTAGTAGGATCTTTGATGGCTTGTTCTCCTAGTACTCTCATCATGTTGGACATTTTTACTTTTGGTTCTGGGGGCGGCTCCAATCCTAGACGTATTTTTTCTTGTTTCTCTTTCCATGCTTCTCGTCTATTCTGACGGCGTAATTTTTTGCGTTCTTTTTTAGTGAGAAACACTGGCAGTGGCATCACCTTGTTAGGTTCCCCAGGTGGTTTCATTTGCATAGGATGTTCAATAAGGTGTGTGATACCTTCATATTTTTCTTCCGGAGGTTTATCACTATTGATTGAGGCTTCGTAACTATTGTCTGTCAACACAAAACTATCCCACCATTCAATTTCAGGTATATCATCTTCCTTATTTTCTTTCTTTGGTACAATGGCACTTAATACTGCGAGTCGCGCAGCAGATGAAACTCCAGTTCTCATAGCAGCTTGCGCTATTTCTTTTTGTAACACTTCCAATTTTGCTTTGGTACGAATTTTCTGAGCAAGAGTCTCAAATGTTCCAGGTTCGTGGAATTTGAAACTACGTTTTGCTCGAACTGTGGGTTTGGTTTCAACCCGCGGATCGTAAAATTTGCTGACTGCCTCATCATGAGTACGTTCTTGGGTAGTCAATTTAAATTGTTCTCTTTTTTGAGCTCTAATATTAGCTTTTAAAGTGGGCATACGATGAACCAATTGAACTTCTTTACCAGTAATATCAACAGTTCTGCCTTCATGATCCAGAATTAAAGGTGCAGGCTTTGAAACGGTTTTCACAGAAGTGTCATTTTTGGAGGATAAATTGGTTCCAGGTACAATCGTAGATGTACGTCTCAACAGGTCAGAGGCAGCTAAGCTTTGATTTAAAGCAGCAATCCTGCTAGCAAGCTGAGCCTGGATCCGAGCTTTAATATCATCTGCTGAGGGTCCAGAGGATGGCTGCCCAATCGGCATACTAGGAACAAATGAAGAGTTTGACATCTGAAAAATGATTAAACACAACCAGGAGTATGAATCAATAAAGATCACGATGGTTACAAAATCAAAGTAATGCAAAAGATGATACCATTAAATAAGTAAAAAAACTAGAATTAATGAAAAGTGAAAGGCCTTAAACAATCCACTAAATTTTCTTGTTTCAAAAAGTTTTCACTAGAGAGCGTCATTACCAATATTCATGCCTTTTAGCAAACACTTTGCAAAAGAGCGCTCTGTTTAAAAGGAAAATCATTTGAATTGTCTAGCGTTTCGAGCGGTTGATGTCTAGTAGTAAAAAACTAGAATCCGTTGAACATTCGATATCAGAAAATAAAGTAAAAAATGGTGCAATGCGTAAAATAATTGAATCACGTCGATTAGAAGTTGCTGAAGCCGAAAAATATTCTCGCAGATTGGGTCGAACAATCGAAATATTACGTCACAATGGTGATAAATTTTTGAATGATCTGGAGACTACAAAAAAGGCTATTTCTCAAGTTACATCTCGTCTTAAACTTTCCGACTCAGAGCGTTCAAAGATTCGGTGCGAAATCAAGGAAGCAACTCAAAAATCAATTATGCAGTTGAAGGATCATATTTTCCCTTTCCATTGTGAAAATAGTTATATCACCTCCACTACAACCAACTCAGTAGATACAACTTACTCTGAAAGTGAAGGTCCGCTCTTTATTTCAGAATCTGGAACGGAATCCTTTTCAACAACCTGTTGTCCTCCCTCAATGGGTTCATGGGCCAATGTTGAATCTAATTGTACTCGATATCTTATCGTTGAACCATGGATTCCTAGAGATTCAATTGCTCATCATACATCACTCAATTATTATCAGTTGCTTCCTACTACATGGATGCTTACCTTACTCTTTGGTTAGATTCAAGTAAATTCATCTGATTTGTTTGTAACGTTTCTGGCTCAATTTTGGACACAAGTACAACTTAGACTTAAATTTCGATGATCAATCATAAAATGCACTTATTTCAAGAAATAAAACTTTTCTTTTTCTGACAAAACAGATTAATTGGACTTTCTTGATTGTAAACTCACCCATCAATAAAGATTTAATTGCACTGAAATTTTTGTTACTTATTAATATGAACATGTTATAATATAAAATATTAGTTGAAGTAATGGAGTTGTTGCTATTGTAAAAAGACACAATTGTCACTTTTATGCACAAATTAACCCAAATAGTGAAAGATAAATGGGTAAAAACGGGTAAAAACTAATTTATTTCAAGTTTAAACTCAGTTAGTTTGTAGGAATAAAAAACTGAGTCTCTCAAAAACAACAAATTGACACATAAATTGTTTTGCTAATTATTCAACAATCAGATTGGTTAAAGAATTATTTTTTTTTTAATTTTCATTAATTAAGTCCTAATAATATACCATAACTAGCTTTTGTTGCTATGTTCATTCTATTTCATGAAAAAAATCAAAGAAACAGTTTCTCCGATCTATCAACGGTTCTCTTAATTTTGGCTAATATGCTCACAACTTGGAGTTTCAATACTTCGTTAACGGTGGCTCTTATGATTCTTTCATCGATTCTCATGACGCCTCTTACATGCAATGATGCATAAAAGCCTAAGATCATTCAAGATATTCAATTGAAGTCCTAACATTGTATTACTTAAGTTAAATGCGTTATAAAAGTAAATGTTTATTCAGTTTGTTGCTAAAAAGATACAATTGTCACTTTTATGCACTAATTTGCACAGAATAACACAAATACTGAAAAACAAATGGCCAAAAACGAGTAAATATCAATTTAACGCAAATTTAGACTCTGTTAGCTTGTAGAGAATTGAAAGCTGAGTCTCTTCATGCGATTTAAAAGTTTCTCTGATGTCCAATTTTCGAAAAAATCGCGTTCAAAGTTGAAACTTAAATAGCTATTTGTACAATAATGGAAGTGAATTTTTTCATCAAACTTATATTAACTTATGTATCTTTTAATTAACAACCAGAAAATGGTCTTATTATGAGAAATAAAGTTTTCTGTTTTTGTATAACTTCGATTCTTCGATTTTCACTCAAATCGATCGTATTCTTTGACCGTGCATGTTAGAGAGCTAAAATTCATTCTTCATCTATAAAAATTGTTTACTCACATCATGGTGGCAATAATTTCTCCAATTCAGCAATAGTTTTCTCGATTTTGGACATTGACCAGAAAACTTTGAGGCTAAATATTTCGAGAATGGCTTCATTTTAAATCGTCATTTTTAGACCAAACAATAGATTTCTTTATCAGCTCTAACATGATATAACTGAAAACCGAATAAACCTTAGCTAATTCATATAACATGTATTTTGTTCTAACACATCATAAGTAACCATTTACCTTTGTTAATCTGGTATCAAATCTGGCAACCTGAGTAATACAATGTTATAAATCTTTTCCTAGTTTGTTGAATGATCTGGGTTTTCAATTTACCATAGCCTAAAATTGAATCTAATGTTTGATGGAAGAATAACGATTTTAGGTGAAGCCATTCTCGAAATATTGAGCATCGAAATTTTCTGGTCAATGTCCAAAATCGAAAAAACTGTTGATGAACTGGAGAAATTATTGCTATCATGATGTGTGTTGACAATTTTTATGGATGCAGAATGAGTTTCAGCTCTCTAACATGTATGGTCAAAGAATGAGATCGGTTTGAGAGAAAATCGAAGAATCGAAGTTGTACAAAAACAGAAAACTTTATTTCTCTTTATAAGACCATTTTCTGGTTTGCCATCAAAAATAACATAGCGCAATGAAGTTTCGTGAAAAAATCTCCTTCCTTTATTGTACAAAAAGCTATTCAAGTTTCAACTTTGAACGCGATTTTTTCGAAAAATGGAGATCAGAGACACTTTTAAATCGCACGAAGAAACTCAGCTTTCAATTCCCTACAAACTAACAGAATGCAAACTCGAAAGAAATTGATATTTACCCGTTTTTGCGCATTTCTCTTTCACTTTTTGTGTTATTTTGTGCAAATTAGTGCATAAAAGTGACAATTGTGTCTTTTTACTTCAACTAATATTTTATGACATCTTTACATTAACAAATAACAAAATTTTCAGTCAAATCTTAAATTTAGGGTTAATTTACAATCAAGAATACAAAAGTAATAATGGAAGACAGTGTTGAGTCTTGGAAAAGGAATTAAGTTTCATTCAATTAAATGTTTCTTGATTTTATGTATCGCATTTCATTGTCATTATGAGAAATTTCCAGCTTTATAACCATACCTCTGAAAGATAATTAATATAATTAAAGATAATTATTGTTTGTAAAGACTTGAATTTTTTATTGACTTTCATTCAATTTCAACCCTAACTTCTGCTTGACGATTAGTTGACTCACCTGTTCATCCTCATCATAATATAAAGTGTTGTAGTTGATGAGATATTTCAATTACTATGAAAATCATGATGGAAATAGAATGTTTCCGGATCCGGATTTGAATTAGATAAATAGCAAGGTGAATCCATCAACATTTGAACTGATGCTGAATGACTCGACTTTTATTGAGCGTTTTCAAGAAACCTGAATATACTAATGAATGTATAAAATGAAACAATTCTGTAACTGGAAATCACTTTTACTAAACACTTACTCACATTAATACTGTTCGTTATAATCTCTAGCTTCTTGCTATCATTATCAGTTTCAATGTCTATTCCTTCATTTTCCGTAATCCTCTTCATTTTCATCATGGTCTTCTCTGGTTTTGATTTCATTTACACTCGGAACCTAAATATGTGCAATAGGAAACAAAATTCAGAAAGTAAATGTGCCGATGGAAGCATGGTGAGCGATGATAAGCTGATTGAATTTTGTACTGAATATCAGCGCTCCAAGTTACTAAATTATTATGCTTCCACCATGAATCCAGACGGTATGGCCAATGAACCAGCAGATATCAATCCTGGTGTGTTCAAACAGCGTTGTCAAGCTAAAATTCCAAAACATGGATCTTTCTATTGTACTAATTTTTATGCCTATTGCGATCGTCAAAAGCAAATGTTGCCTCAATTTCAGTAACCATAAAATAAAAGCACTTTAATAATGCTCTGAAAGAAAACTATTTTTGTCCTGATTCTTATTTACTGATTTTTGTGTTGAAATTCTGTTAACTACATATAGATATATATATATACATATACATGTATATGTCATTCTGATGAAAACTACAATATTTTTAATATGATATTATCAAAAACAAATAATGAAGGTTGTCTCATTTCTCACTTTTTTATCCTTTGGTGTTAAGATCTCAAGTTTTGTTTGAAAATAGACGCGATGATGAGGTTCACAAAAATCTTGTTTACTTTCTTCTGAGATAATCGGTTTTTAAAATTATCAAGGTAGGAGTGCTCGATAATTACTCCGGCCATAAAGTAGATCAGAGTAAGAAGCCAACGTTCAAGACCATGGAAGAGGATCAAGTAGTCTATTATCTCCAATTCAGTCCAAGTTTTCTGAAAAAAAGACTAGATTACGTCTATTGGAAGAAGAGTACAAAAGAATCAATGATCGTTTCGAGCGGTTGATGTCTAGTAGTAAAAAACTAGAATCTGTTGAACATTCGATATCAGAAAATAAAGTAAAAAATGGTGCAATGCGTAAAATAATTGAATCACGTCGATTAGAAGTTGCTGAAGCCGAAAAATATTCTCGCAGATTGGGTCGAACAATCGAAATATTACGTCACAATGGTGATAAATTTTTGAATGATCTGGAGACTACAAAAAAGGCTATTTCTCAAGTTACATCTCGTCTTAAACTTTCCGACTCAGAGCGTTCAAAGATTCGGTGCGAAATCAAGGAAGCAACTCAAAAATCAATTATGCAGTTGAAGGATCATATTTTCCCTTTCCATTGTGAAAATAGTTATATCACCTCCACTACAACCAACTCAGTAGATACAACTTACTCTGAAAGTGAAGGTCCGCTCTTTATTTCAGAATCTGGAACGGAATCCTTTTCAACAACCTGTTGTCCTCCCTCAATGGGTTCATGGGCCAATGTTGAATCTAATTGTACTCGATATCTTATCGTTGAACCATGGATTCCAAGAGATTCAATTGCTCGCGCCTACTGTCATTGGTTAGATAAGATGAAAGATCCTATTAAACTTAGTCCTATTGGCGAAACAGATGGACTGGATGGAAAAATTCGTGAAAATGATTCTTATCGAGTCTCTGCTGCCCTATCATACATCACTCAATTATTATCAGTTGCTTCCTACTACATGGATGCTCGGTTCCCTAAACGGCTCAATTTTGTTGAATTTTATTCTAAGTGTAGTGATTCAGGGCCCGAAATTTTTCTTACTGACGAAGAGATACTCCATAAAGTTGCCAAATTAAATGCAAATCTAATTTATCTATGCCTTTCACAAAGAGTTGATCCCCGTTATTTGGAACCAACTTACACGGGTCATAATTTAACTTTACTTCTCAATCCAAACTTTAGTAATCTTGATCAAGCTGGGCCAATTTACATTGACTCGGAAACTCACCGCCGTGTTGAAGAATCCTTATATCCTGATTATATTCTGGTTGAACCATCTGAAAGTCAAGATTTTTCCGAAGCAGATGACATCTTCGATGAAGAATGTATTGGAAATGATTGGGAGTCAGTTACATCGTCCAATACAACTCCTTATGTTGATTTATTCACTTCACAACAAACTACTAGTATGACTGGTGGAATTATGTCATCAATTGCTGAAACTGCTCTTTATGCTGTTACATCGTTTATCCGTAAAAAATGAATCAATGATTCTCAATATCTCAATGAAAAAATATCTTCTAAAAAGACTACCCTTGTCCCTCCAAGCATATACTGCTTCTAATAGAAAGTTAAACTCTAATTGTAAATTTGCTCTATCATCATTCGTATAATATTCATCATCATCATCATCACCAACCTTATCATTTCTGCTTTCAGTAAACGTCTGATGATGATATCTTAAGCAGTCTCCCGGTGATTTCATTGTTAAACGAAATTTAAAATTGACCAGATAAGTTTATCATAAAACATTTTATTTTAATGTATTCATAATCATATTCCCAATTGGCTTATTTGGCGTATTACAACCGAACAAAATGATATCTAGCATTTTGACCTTTATTTGGACTATTAAACATCAATGTAATATTTGCTCTATTGAGTTTATTTGTTGAATTATGAAAAATAAATCTCAGCGTGTCATCAGTTGATAATAAAAATTTAATGCTTTTTTGAAAAGAAAATTTTGACTCAAAACTCAATGTTTCAAAGCCAAGTACATCAAATATTTGAAGAGTCGTTGAATTTTTCTTGAATAATTTAAATTATGACGAATTCTTGAACTTAAAGATCATCAATCACTTGATAAGACATAAAGAAGCAGTGAAAATAACTCTGTTCAGCTAATTTCACGAAATCTCTTGTCAGAGTTGAAATACATTAATGTTTATGTTTATTTTTTTTAAGTTTTAATCAATTTCCAGCCTTTTATCAGTTCATTGTTTCAAATTTATTCTTATAAATTCAATTACAGTGTCAAAACCAATCTGTGAAATTTTATTTCTCATCATTCAATATTTTTTGCTGTTTTGTTTACAGAGTCAGCTGTAAAATCTGAAACTATGACAGTTTCCAGTAGGATACTTCGCCGTAATCCAAAAGGAATTAAAGGCATAGAATTTTACGATTGGCCTGATGAATCTTTTGAAGATATGGACTCAACACTAGCTGTTCAACAATTGATTCAACAATCAATTAAAAGGGATCCTAGTAATATAGATGAGATACTGAAGCCACCGGAGGGTCAAGATGAAGGTACCTGGAAATATGAGCATCTTCGCCAATTTTGTATGGATTTGAATAAACTAGCAGTCAAATTACAAACGGAATGTCTTCCTAGTGCATGTGTTCAAATGACAGCTACAGAACAATGGATATTTTTGTGTGCAGCTCACAAAACACCGAAAGAATGTCCTGCTATTGATTATACAAGACACACTCTGGATGGAGCTTCTTGTCTTTTAAACAATACAAAATATTTCCCATCAAGAGTAACAATGAAAGAATCTTCTGTCAGTAAATTAGGCTCTGTATGTCGACGAGTCTATCGAATCTTTGGTCATGCATATTTCCACCATCGCTCAATATTTGATGAGTTTGAAAATAGCAGCCATTTATGTAAAAGATTCACCATATTCGTTACTAAATATAATTTGATGTCAAAGGAACATTTGATTGTTCCAATACTTAAACCCGAATCGGAAACCGCAACAGCTACTGAAGAAAGTGAAGCCTGATCTCACAATGGTGCTGATTTTTGGATGATTGGTTTTGCTGGTTCAGTTGCCATTATCAGTATCAATTAGTCAATAATTTGAATAAATACACAACGAAAACAAATTCATTTTGCTTTGGTTCCAAAACATTAGAGTTAGAGTTATAGACGCCAGTCTAGTTCTATAAAAATCGAATTATTTCTTTGATAAATTATTGTTGTTTATTAGTCAGTACAACTCCAATCGGCATATTCTGGCTTCAACACCTAACTGACGTTTCTTTATTTAAAAAAATCTACAAAACCCAAAACGAACTCATTTTCACTGAAAATTATTTTATAAATTATTATTTCGTAAATGATTCTTTAATTTATTGCTACGATTATAATCTCAATAAGTATCATTGATTAAAAGTAGTGAGATAATGTTATGCGTTAGATTTTCCTCAACTTAATGTTTGATTCGCAAAATTTGTTAATATGGTCTAATTCAGCAAATTTATTTATTAAAAGATTTTAAAAACCCTTGAATTCAGCTTCAGATATTTTTACTGTATTCATGATTTTTTTATTACGAACTTACTTTGACAAGAAACAAAACTATTAAAAATTGCAATAAAATTAGCTCCAATCAGTTGAACACTTAACAGATCACACACAGTTGTTACGGAATCAATCATTGAAATGAGTTTTGATTGTTGAGAAAATATTTGTAACAAATTTATTTTACAATTTCAAAATAAGGGTTTAACAAAATATCAATAAAGATTTATAATTATTTCACATTTAGTTTCTGTTATCGTTATTGGTTAGCGTGCTTGAGGTTCTCAAGACTTTTGTATTTTGATTGCGAGTTGAAATTTTTTTAAATTTCAGCATTATGCGATTCAATTTTAATTTTTGTAACTCCAAGTCAGAAAGATATCTCGTTTTACGTAATCGATATCCATGAATTTGACCAGGGTTCAGATCTTTTAATTTGCCTTTTCTGTCTTGACTGTAACTTTCTTCATTGATTTGCTCTTTGGCATATCTTTGCTTGTTTCTTTCAATTTGCGTTTCTTTCCATGAGCCTTTCCAGCGGAATTATTGTCTTTAACAACTTCACTCTTTGGGTTTTTTGTTTTTCGGTTAAATTTTTTAGAGGGACGAGTATTTTTTTCTGTTTTAATAACAGAACTTTTGACTAGCTTATTCTTCATTACTTTTCCCAGACGGGAAGCTTTGTTAAATCTTTCTCTCTTCCTGGCACTGCCGGTAAGCTTTTTTGGTCCATCCTTATCAACTGAATCACTCTTTAAGTCAGCTTGGCTGTTACCAGTCGTTGAATCACGTTTATCATTATTCCCAAGATTTTTAGCAGACTTTGTCTTATTTTTCTTAGCTTTTATGCTCTTTTTAGGCTTTTCTGAATTTGTTTTCTCAACTTCAAGAGAAACTTCAGCTTTATCATCTACATCGCTGTTTTCAGGCTTAGGAGGAGAAGAATCATCTTCAGCTTTTTTCTTTGCTTCTTTAGTTTTCTTCTGCTCAATATTTCTAATTTCGATCTGACGTCTCATTTTTTTAGCCTTTTCTTTCAATGATCGTTGACTAGCAAATTCAGCTTTAATGGAAGTAACGGCCACTTCCTTTGCGTCTTTGTTGTCAATTTCTTCAGGTCCAGATGAGGAGTCATCACTAGCTTCAGCTGAATCTTTATCGTCTATATCCATGCTACCAAGTTGTTGATGAAAGAAATTTGGAATATCAAGCAATTAAATTACCTAGAAATAGTAGAAGAAAACTGATGTAAATTGAAAATGCCGATTTTGATCAGAATTAAATTATAAGAAAAATTTGAACAGCAAAATAGAACCAGCAATAGGACATCGATTCAAATCGATAAATTGTTGAACACGTTAGCACAAAATAATAATTTAACAGAACAAATGCTTCAAATTGGTTGACATTCAAAGGTTAATTGTCACAAAAAATAGCAAATGTAACATGTGAGACTCATACGGAAAGCGCATTCAATATCCATAGTAACGAATGTAAACACTTATTATCCAATGAGATTGACACAACACAGCCAGCTGTTGATTAGTGAATCTACTTCTATTCAATGAACAATATTCATCTTAACGTGTCTATTTAATTTCAATCAATGATTAACATCTTCTAATGAAGCAATCAAATCATGATAAATCCTGAATCCCTGGATTTGTCCTATATTGATCTAATTAAACCTTATATTTAGCTTAATCTGTTTTCTAAGATTACAAGCCAACAAGTTTTTTTACCTTTAGTGGTTGCTTTGCCTTCTCATTAAGAAAATGGATGCTAAACATGATGTTCTCAAGTTTATCTTTAAAGAAGATGGTAAGTACTTATGATTCTTTAGCTTATACAGCTAATTAATGCTTGTTACCTTTTCAGAGTGTATTGATCCTGATCTCTCAGAGGACTATATTGACAAGTTATGCTCGATTGGTATTCATAGTTTAGCCAGGGAACCGGCTCGATTATTGGATGAAAAATGTCGGCTAGAAGATGCTATGAAGGATGAAGCTTTCAAAAATTATCCGTGTTTCTTGGAAGCTCATAAGCTCGGCAAAGACGTCAAACAAGAGGTAAACAGGCAATCATCTGTTTAAATGCTTCTCATCTCATCTCGATTTGTAATTTATTTAGTTTTAATCTCATTTTATTCATCCAGGTTCTAGGAATTGAAGATAAATTAGACAAATTTATTGATAAAATACCATTCTTCCAAAGAAAGCTTTCAGGATTCTCTGATGAAGCCAAAGACATTACTAAAAGGTAAAAAATACCTTTTAAGTTGTTATATCTATTGATTAATCCCTTAATACATTGTCTTATGATTCCATACCGTTTCAAGATGGAGGCAAGCATCTTTAATGTTATCCAAACATAATCAGCTGTTAGGGTTCCTTGAAATACCCCAATTAATGGATTCTTGTGTGCGGAAAGGTTACTACGATGAGGCTTTACAATTATACTCGTACATTCAACGAATTGACCGACTCCACGGTAAAGATGCTCCTCTGATTCAGGTAAAAAATTTCAAGTTATTATCTAAAGACCTGGACATTTCTTAATGTCTCTTTTTTTCTTTTGTAATTAGACAATATCAAACGAGTTATCCCAGTGCAAGGAATTAATGATTAACCAGCTGCTCAAAGAGTTATATGGGGACATACAATTGCCTGTTGCCCTCAAAATTATTGGTTATTTAAGACGTATCAATGTTTATGATGAAACTGAGTTGAGGATAAAGTTTCTCTATGTAAGTTTTTCAATCCTATTACTCTAAATTGACATTATATTCAGCTAGAGTAATACAATTATCATATAATCTATAATAATCTCTTGTTTTTTTTAATAAGGCTCGAGATGCTTGGTTAAAAAATCTGGTTAAAGAAGTAACAGTCACGAATCCTCTTGCGTACATGGGAAAATTAATAGAAATATATCGGATCAACTTATTTAATACAGTTACACAGTATAGAGCTTTATTTGCGGACGATGATATTGTTTCGCTCTCATCATCATCTAAACAAATCTCAGGTCAAGAAACCTTGAACGACTCTGATCACCGTGATTTCGGTGATACAACAATATTAACAAGCTGGATATCCAACAAGATTGACTTGTTTCTTAGTCAACTACAAGATACATTAGATAAATGTCTAGCAGCTGAATATTCTTCACTCTATCCAATTGAAAATTTATTCGACCCTTGTTTTTATTTTGGCCTTTCGATGAACCGAATAGGAGCAGATTGTAGACCAGATATTTCTCTAATTTTCCAGCGGGTTATTTTGACAAAATTTACTCAATCAGTTGAAACAGCTATAGATAAATTTGAAGCAAATTTGGAAAACTTTTCTCTATCTTCGGTTAATTTAATGACTAGCTCGTCGTCATCTCCTGCCATCTCATCACTATCTTCAGCATCCGAAACGTTAACTTCAGAATCCAAAACTGATTACGAGCCGCCATCCGTGATTCTCACCTTTCCTCCTTTAGCCAATCTTTGCAATGATCTTCTTGAAGCTTTTAATCAAGCCAGAAAATTGATTCCACTGTCTATAATCGCAAAATTTAGAGATATATTGAATCAATCTTTGATCAGATCAACGCGAATCCTAATCAATTATCACAAGTAAGTCTAAAACATATTTGAGATTTTTCTCATTAAACTCAAGACATTTTTCATACTTTTATAACTCTCATATTTCTGATTGATTAATCAAACCTTTTTCTTAAACATCATTTTCAGAACTGAATCAACATCAAGCAATACAAACCCAGAAGCTGATCTTCTCAAAAAAATGGTTCAAGTTTACGTCCATCATTTGGTGCCTCACATTCAAAAGTGTTTAACCGCTTTGGTACCGGTCCAGCAGTTAGCTAAAAGTCTTGGACTTTCTGTTCTAGAGTTTAATCGATTGAGAAAAACGCGAAAAGATGTTTCCATTTCAGACTTAGATGTCGACGCAATAAAGGAACTAATTGATCATCTCTTGGTTTGAATAAGCAATGATTTGTTTTGCCAAAACTGACCTGTATTCCAATCGATAGATGCCTTTACTCGACGCCATTCACTATTTATTGAATAAATGTTTGCTAATCAACAAAATCAGTAAAGTCACCAAGATAAATTAATTTCGATTTCCAGCCCCATAATCTACTGATAATACTAACAGTAGTAATTATATCGGTAAAAGACAATTTTATTTCTCACAATTATTACCAATTATCTTTATTATTGACTGTTACAAATTTTTATCAACTTGGTATCACTTGCCGTCTACCAACAATAAAATCAACTTGTGAATACATTTGACTACCTTGTGATTTAGCAATCCAATTTAACAAATGGAGACAACTTGCAGCCTCTTGATTACCAACAACCAATTATTAATGTATTTCACTCATAATTATTGGATAAAACGATTCAAATCTCAGACTGATTAACAATTCCGCCATTAGACTGATTCCAGAAGAAATGAATTGTTTTTTATTCTCATATATCAAGTGTAAACATCAATTTATTTACCATTGACAGTAACTAATTATTAAATCACAAAATATCTTTTAAAGCCCAAGATAGAAGCTAAATTGATCTTAAGCCAGAACCAAACAATCGACTGATTATGCTGAAAAAAAGATGATTGAAATTTAACCAATCAATTTGTAGGCTTCAATGAATCAATTAATGATTTCCAAGGACTATACAATAAACAACGGCAAACAATCACTTTCATTAATCGCTCCATAGATTATTGTTTACAATCATTTCCTCATCTTCTGCATCAATAATAAATTGTTATCATCAATCAATAATTAAACCTAAACTATAACCTTTCCAGAATCAATCAAATCTTGATTGGAATCAATGGAAATCATTGTTACAGAAAACGGGTTCAACTGAATACAAAAGATGTTTGCGTTAATTAACAAGTCAATGGCAGTTTTTTTTGATGAAATTAAATTCCAATCAAAGCTTGAGGTTAACGTATTGATGCTCCAGTTAAGGTACGATTCTGATGAACAAAAATGTCCCCTGAAAATAGTTGAATGACTCAATATGTTCGCCTGGATGACAAGCAAAATGAATCCAACACGAAATGACCGAAGCTTGTGTTTAATCAAGAATCAATGTCTGATAATGAGACCAGAGTTTATGCAGGAAAATTATCAAATTATTTGTAAACTAATTTACCATGAAAATGAATTAATGAAGCTCACAGTAAATGTTGAACCTTGAATAAAAATGATTTATCATGTAAAGGGTAAATATTATTTGTATTTTATTCCTTAACTCTTGATTCACTTTTGCACGGTAAATAATAAAATTATGAAATTATGATTTATTGATAATAATCAATGGTGACTTGTCCATGGTGATAATATTGTTATCAACAATCTTAACTTCATGCTCAGGTTAATATGAAAGTTGATTAAATAACGCTGATCTTTAACCATTTTTTTGCCATTTAATTTGAGCCAATTGTTTTACCAGTCAATCAACTGGTTAATGACAACAATTGCGTGAATAGTTATTTCAATTTTTATTTAATTTTGCTGTTGTTTATTGTTGGTAATGATGCATTTGCTGTCAATGTCAACGATTTCAGTGTTCAATTGCTTGAGAATGTGAAAAGACCAACAATGATAATCATTTTGGGGTTACATTGAACCAGAATCGGGTGTTTACTGTCTTTTGGTGGGACGACAATTTATTAATTTTAATGGATTGTCAGGAAAGATCAGAGAACTAACAGTTTTAATTTAACCAGCGAATTAATAATCAGATTAACTGTAGACTTATACAAATGATTATAATTGTCACCCAAATGGGTAAACCAGATTCAATTGCACTTAGAAACCAGGAAAATATTTAATCAACAATTAAATAATTTGCCATCTTGAGGTAAACAGAAGAGCTTTTTTTAGGTTTGAATTCAATGTTGGAATCAATATTAACCAGAAAAATTTTTGCCTCAACTATTTCTGGTTCATTTACTTGTAACTTTGATGTAATTTGGGTTTTCTCATCGCTCTAATCAACATTGTATTGATTAACATTTAGTAATTGAATGAAAAGTCCATTAAGTCAATAATCAGGATAAAATTACCACCAGAATGATTAAATTTGGTTCAAGTTTGACCTTACAATGAGATTACCAGTTATTAATATACCTGAAAATGGTGTGTTGATTGGTCAAGACATAATGATTTGTATGTCTTGCTGGGTAATCAATGAGAGTTACAAATGATTTGGACAATTTGGATAAAAATAGGCGACGAATTGGGAGTAAATTGTTGGTTTAAAATGTTTTTGATTTGTACAGTTGAATAAATGAGAGGAAATTGATTGGTAAAAACAAAACACATAAACAGGAAAATAATGCCGATTTTATTCTTATGTTAATTGTTTACCATTGGTTGTTATCTATCAATTGAATTGAACAACTGATTTATCCTGTTGAAGGATAAATTAGACTGAAAGAGTTCAAAGGCCTTTTGGGTAATGACATTGTGAAAAGACAAAACAAAACAATCAATTTGATGATTGTTTGCTGTTCATCTTTCATCAACTTGGATAAACCTAAGAGAGTCAACATCATATCCTAGGTCATTGGTAATCAACTAAATCTAGAATTGACTATTTAACGGAGGAAATTAATTTTCAAGGGAAATAACTGAGTTTTATCCTAATTTAAATCAGATTAGGTGTATCTACTGAAATTTAAACTGCAAGTTTACTGGTTTGGGTTAAATTTTGGTTGAGTTGGGTAACATTAGTTGATGGCAAATGACTTGACAATGTATTGGGTTGTTTCATTGCGTCTACAGTTGATATCAATGGTAAACATTATTTTTTGTTCAGTTTTGGATAATTTTGTCATCGATAGTTAACTTTTCAGTCAACAAGTGAGATAATCTTGCGTTGAAAACAATGAAGCAGCTTCAAGATGTTAATAGTTGTAATCTTAATGACAAAAGGTGCGTTTGGATTTGAATAGAGGTTTAATGCTGCGATTAAAATAGGTGTAAGCTGATCAAGAAACAACCAATGAAGTTTATCAGTTTCTGTGTTTAAATAGCTTTTTACTGACAAATGAGTGAGAAAATAAATGCATAAGAGTGATGTTGATGAGACTTTAATTGATGCTGTAGATGAGGATAATAAGAAGCTGATTGTGGAAGAAGAAGCAACGAGATTAAGATTTATAAATTGAAGCTTTATCAAATCATGAACATTATTCACATTTATGACAGATAGACAGAGGAAGAAAAGAGAGAAATCGGTAGACAGAGAGAAAAGTGAGAGAGAGAAGAACAGGATGACAAGAAAGAGAAGGAAGAGAGAGAGGGAGAGAGACAAAAAGGGAAAATTTTCATATCACAATTTGTCTTACTTTGCCTTAATGATCGTTAGTTTCTGTTGATTAACTTTCACTGTAGCTGCTCATTTCCATTAATTTTCAATGAAAAGTGACTTGTAAATACAAACTCTAATCCAATTTATCATTTTATCTAGTTTTCCTTTGTATTTGTTCCTTGGTCTACAATTATTCAGTTAACTTGAATTCAATCAGACGATATTCACCAACAAAAAAATAGCTACACCAATAGGCAACTGGAAACATGAAAATGCTGATACACAGATCTTGTTACGCCAAGTGAACCATTACCGATTAAAATATACACTTAATGATGATTATGGTGGTAAAAGTGTTGCTTTAGATGATTTGGATCATGTTGTCGGTGGTATAGATGATGATTCTGTTGTTATTGATGATGATGATCAACTCAGTTGTTAATTAGTTAACCATTAGAATTCCTGGTTTACAGAATAAGAGATGAAAAACAATCTAAATCAGGTAAGAAATACATTCTTTTTCCTTGGAACAAGCTTTTGTTTGTTTTAACCCTACTTACTCATTTACCTCCATTTTTGTTGCTGACTTTTACATAACAACCGGTCTCTTGTTAATGTCTTTATTTAACTTATTTTCACCACAACCAATTATAATTTGTTTAAAAGATGATGATTTTAAAAATTGAAACACTTCACTTAATTAATTATACGTTTTTGTTGTAAATGTATTTAACTATTTAGATTACCGACAAGTTGAATTGCTATTACGGTTAAAAAGTTGAAGGAAAGACCAGAAAACCAGATTTTGTTTTAAACTGTGAGTTAACCTGTTGCCATGTCTACAGAAAATCAAATTTACCCTTTCAAACGGTTTTACAGTTTAACCAATGATAATCGTTGGCCATGGTAAATTATTCATCATAATGGTTAACATCGTTCTGGATTAAAGTTGCTTATTTTTACCTTTCAACAAATTTAATTGCCAAAGATTAAAACGTATAAATTGTTACCTACTTGGCCTTTTGATTTTTCGGGTTTACAAGCTATCGTTGTTTTATCATCACAGTATCGGCTCTTCATTAAATCCATCTTCAATCTTTAATAATCAAAACAATCATCGTCTTTATTCCAGTGCAAAATACCTACACTTTATCAACATCAACTTGGGTTAATCACCATTGGAATATGTAACACAGGCAAAAGATTATCGTTATCTATTGGATTAATTAAGTGTATTTCAGTGAAACCGTTTCTTTGATCTCTTGGTTTTATCCCAGGTAATTCTGTTTTTACCTTTTGTTACTACTACTACTAGTTCTTTCACCTAAATCTTTCCATGTTAATTTGGTTCTATTGGCTCACCTTGATTGTTATTAGAGTGAAACAAAAATATCCATCGTTAATCCATCATTGTGCGGATGCCTTTAATTGTGCACAAGGGAATTAAAGGCAATTAATTAACATGATGACGATCTCATTATCAATTTGGATTAACTCGATTCCACACAAGTCATCGTCATCATCATCACCTTTACCATTACCTCCACCTTCATCATCATTTACACCATCTTCATCATTACCTTTACCATTATTTAAAGTAAAATCTTCACTAACATCCTATTTAACATCATATTTAACGTTAATTTGGTTAATTATTTTACCAACTGTGATTCAGTGCACGGAAACAGATGACATGAATTGTGTTCCCTTCATCAATAGACTTACTTTTTGCTCAACAACCAAAAGAGATGATATTTATTATCAAATTGAAGTTCCAACAACAGGTTATCAGACTAATTTCAGTTTAATAGGTGAGCTAATCAAGTAATTTAACCATCTAGCTATTAATAGTGACATTGTTGATGAAAGGCCTGTGTAAATTAACGCCATAATCAACTTTAAATCCTGCAAAACAATTGATATTCATTGAAAACCCATTTTCAAATGCCATTTACCAGAAAAAAAGAGTGAACCCAAAAAGAGAAAAAACAAATCAATTTAAAGTAATCACAATTATTAACACCAGTCATAACACCATAAACCAAATTAAAAAGTAAACAATTGAGATTATTCCATCTAAATATTAACAATTTATCCAAAAAAACAAATTGATTTTCATTCACTTTGATTAAATGCAAGCATTAGTTTTGCATGTTCAAGTAAACAAGGAAACCTCAAGTACAACCTTGCAAAAACATTTGTTAACAATAAAGATTGACAATTAAGAACCCAAAATGAAACAATAATTACCATAAATTATGATCATTATGAGTTGCAACAATTAACTTACCATTAAGCAAACATCTAATGACCATTGAAAACCTAACCAAAACCCTGTTAACATCATCAACAACTTGATTGTGAACCAGACAAATATAACCAAAACCAGACAATTTATTCCTCTCTTTTTTTCGGGTGAAATTGATTACAATTAACATTATGCTTATCCCATCATTTTAACCATTTCACATGATCTTCTTGATTGTTACTTGTTTTTAGTAGACAATTTAGGTTTTAGTTTCCAAATTTTTTTGTTTTGTCTTTCAAATCAATCTCCCAACAATCATTAATAACGTTAAAAAGCAAGAAATAGCAATTGGTTAAATTGTCTTCTGTCAAACAAAATGTACATAATAAATCAGTACAATTACATGAGAGAATCAGTTAAACATTGAATTGTTCACAATTGTCATATTGTTTAAATTGTCACTTTATTTACCTTTAGGAAGAAATGATTTGTAAATAATTAATTCAATTTTGTTAACCAATTATTTAGTTAACCAAACATCAAAATGAAAAACTGAATCCATGGAAGCGTAAACATAATACAGTTGAACTGAAAATTGTTGAACTTGATCATCAATCATTAAACTTTGATTCTGTTCACTTGAACCTCACCTTGCACCATTATTATGATTGATTCACTAAACAATTGGTTAATTAATTTGAAGCCAAAAAATTAATAAAACACAACCTTAATGGCAATGCAGCCAATAGTGAGATAATTAAAAATGTCACTTCAATATTTAAAAAATGAATAAACTGACGGAATAATTTTGATAGCAAATAAGTGCATCAACAATTAATGAACAATTGATCAACACAATTTATGTATGTTGGTAAAAATAGTTACAATTATCCCTTGAAATGGCAACTATTTACAATCTAATTAGTAATTACTGTTCAATTAAATGTAATCAAGGTTTTTACCAATAATTGTGATTCCTTGTGATCTTCATTGATATTAATAACAAATGAAATTGAGAAGCGAAATGAAGAGACAATCTTATTATTGATAATTGTTACCATAATAATGGTGATATCCCAATGTTAATTAACATTTATCACAGTTACTAATTACCTTGAACAACTCATGTTTAATGAGTTTCAATTCCAAGTCTTTTATGCTCTCCTCAAGCTTAGTCAACTTGATTAACCATTGAGATTATTTATGATTAACTTGCTTTTTTATTGACCTTTTTGTTTCCTCCAGATTTTGATGTGGACTCGTTTGACTTGAAAAATGATCGAGTTGTATTTAAACCGATAATCAATTTAAGGCCCAAAGTTTATCGGGTAACCATTTTGGCGACTCAAGTAAAGACTGAAACTCTGGTTGGACCCAATTGTATGATATTGGAGATTGAATTGAATGACCTGCACTGTAATTATGTTGGCCATTGTACTGTTGTGGTCTCTGTTTTGGCCAGTTTTTGTTTAATTTTGTTAACAGCTCTTTCAGTTTCCCTAATCATTTTGCGTCGTAAAAAGCCATTGTCGTTAATTTTGAGGAAGGTTAAAATTCCAGACGACGATTCCTATTCAAATAGCCATCAATCAGAATCAGGGTAAGTCATCACAAGAAGATTATCTTGCAAAATGATATCAATTTAGTAACAATGAAACCCAAAAAACATTTTGTCTAAACAAATCAATTGACTCTGACAAAAAAAAGATTAATACTTGACATTTCTTCAGAAGATTCAAGATTTAGGTTTTCTCCTGAAAAAATCATGATAATAACAAACTAAAAGCAGCTTGAAAACATGGAAATAGCCATTCACCTATTATACTGAACTTGAAATCTCAAATTCATCAAATGTTTTGAATGTAAATCGAAATCTTTTTGAAGAATTTCATTTTCTTTTTCGATTTTCTTTTCTTTCAAACATTTCGTTTTCTCAGTCTGTTTCATGATGTCACTCATTCTGACTCTGAAGAGATTCAATTGAATATTAAAAGTAGTTTATCGATGATTTTAAAACATTACAATGACAATTTGAAACTCATTAAAAGGCAACCTTTGTTCATTCAAAGTTGTTTTTTTTTGCATTTCATTCTGAATCAGTTAGTCAGGAGAATCAGAATTAGTTTGATACAAAAAATGATCTTTTATTCATTACATGAAAATAGAATGAAAAAAATTGACAAAAAAATGAATCATTAACTTGCACAGATGTGTAATGTGATTCAATGAAAGTGCATTTGTTCAACAGGTTTTATTTGCTCTTAATGGTTGTTTATGAAATCTGATGTAATTTATTTAATTAAATTCATATTCTTCCACAATCAAATGTCACCAAGAAACTTTCAGTTCAACTCTTTCAGTCTTGATGATAATTGAATTTTCAAGTACTCTTTACACTCGCAATCAACTGAATTACAAATCAACCGTCAATGAAATCAATCAATATTTGCTTTGTTTGTACAATTGTTTTATTCCCATTGACTTAACACAGAGATAATTGTAATGATCAAACGTAAATATTGAAAAGATTTGTTGAAAACATTCAGACTTTCAGGCTTTTTGCACCAAAAAAATGGATATTTATTGCTGTTCTGTCGATCAATGAATAATGTAATTTTTATCAACAATTTAGTTTTAATTTACACAAAAGTGTCAAGTTAATCAATGGATAATAAATGTCACTTAGCATAATTAACATGTTTAATGAGCAACATGAATTCACTTAAACCAGTCACTGGTTAAATAGTAAAGTCACTTTTTATGTGTTGCTCAGGATACAGATTAATAATCAATGATTCTGATTTTCAGAAGGACATTAATTTCCATGAATAATAATTCAATTGCTGTCTAACATCGTAAATATTCAACAGATTTATCTCGAGTTAATTGGAAACAATTGAATATCCAATTAATCAATTTTGAAATTAAAATTTGATCAATCTTGATGTTAACCAGGAAAAGATGCTTTTTTTGCAATTCAATCCCAAAGAGACCAGTTTGGGTTAATTTTAACTTTAATAAGATGTAATTGCACACAAAAATTGATCAATTATTGAATGTAAACCATTTAAATGTATAAATAAGTGAAAGGTTAATTTTAAATTAATTTCATTGGAAAATTTAAACTCAAATCCTTTTAGATTGATGAATATTTCATTGCGTCTATCGAAGTAAATAATTGTTTCAAGCATTTCTGGTTTAAATGGTTTTTTCATTTCCACCAATAAATGTATTAACAGTTGAATTCAATTTTCAGGTTCAGGAAGATTATTTTTCTAAATTTGATTGAGTTCAAGTTGACAATTGAACAAAACTGAATAACTGAGTTGACTTTAAATTATCATTTTAATCGTTTAACTTCATTGTTATCCAAATAAACTCACAAGGTTTACACAATTAATGATACATTGACTGAACTGGAAATTAATTGCTTTTCTTGTTTTCCCTTTTTTTACCCAGCAGTGATCAAAACTTAATCATACCTCGAAAGGCATCGAGTGTGGCGGCTGACATTGCCAATGGTACCATAACCAGGCCAATCTTTTCACCACCGGACGGTCTTTTGATGCCACGAAAGTCGTCTTTAAAGCAAAGTCGAATCGAAGTGATTCCAGTCAAAGATGATCCATTGAAAGCTCTTGAAGCAGGCATTGAAAATGCAGGTTACCAGGAATCGGAAGCCTCTAGAAGAGCCTCAATCATTCCCGAAGTTGAAGAACCAGAGGATAAAAAGGACTCGCTAGCGCCTGATCTTGGTGCCGAGAATCGAAGGAAATCAATAGTGACTTTTAGTGATAAAACGGAGGTTATCAGGATAGCCAAATGATCTTGAAGCCATTCATTAAGGCATCCATCCATAGTCATCATTATTCATCAACAACCATTAACCCAATTTTTCTAGGAAACCCTTTTTCCTAAACACTTTTATTAATATCGATTAATAATGCCAATCATTTTAATTATAATTTAATCACACTTTAAAAATATGTGATTGTAGTCAATTTGTCTTTTGTTCACAGCTTTTCAAGCTTTTTTGATTAATGGAACCAGCGTTTAGTCATTGATCAACCATTGTTGATCTATTTTTCTATCTGAATATATTTTCAATTCAATTCATGGATTAAATTATATTGTGAAACGATCTCAAATGCCTTTGAATGGTTCATTAATATTTTGTGAATGACAACATTGAGCAAAAGTGACCAGAATTGCTTTCAAAAAAGATCACTTTTTTGTGTTTTTTATTCAAATCCATTTTTTGATTTTTACATAACAATATACAATCAAATCAAATTTAGCGGAGTCAAAAATTATACATTTATATTTAACATTAACATTTGATTTTCACATGTAAATTGATTGCTGGAATTAGAAAAGAGAGAAAAAGTAATTTGTAAATTCCCTTCCAATTGTAGACAATGTTGTTTACCATTCCAATGGGCCGCATTAATGAAACGCTTTTCAAAAGTGGAATCACTCGAATCACTTTTGGAAAAGGTTTCATTCAATTAACAAGATAAGAGTCTATTACATTCACAATTAGCACCATGATTAGACTTGGAATCGTTTTGATTATTGTGATTATTATTGTTATTATTATTGTGAACAATTGATTGGCTGTTGGTCAATGAATTACCATTAGCATGGCCATTATTTTGTCCATTGAAAGTACTGTTATTGTTATCACTATTATCACCATTAATGGTGTTTCCATTTATTAACACTCCTCTAAAAACATTGTTTAATATTAAAGGTGATGTCGAGTCACTTGATTGCTGTAATAAATAGCCATTTGACTGTTTACTTGGATTAAGGTTTAACTTTGTCTCAGGATAACCTTTACTTGGATTATTACAGGTTGGATAATCTGGATCGTCTAAATTGTTACGTTGGTGAAGCTCAATTTGATTGGATGATTGGACGGGTGTGCGACGGTAATGAGTTGTACCATGTTGGAAACCATTTGAGGATAAATCAGTTTTCACATTGTAACTCAATTGTTTTTTCAAACGATTCCGGGAAAAGAAGCAAAAAATGGACGCAAAGTAACTCCTGAACCTGGAAAATGGCGAGAAAAATGGAAACAAACAATTAAAATTTATTACACCAATTATTCAATTGATTTTAAAGTTCAAGATTATTTTTAAACTGAATTCAATCTAAAAATATCAACACAATATGTGAACAAATTAGCCGTTATTTAACAACTATAGTGTTGCTTAAATTGCCTTTGTTTAATACTGGGAATCAACTAAATTGATTAATTTAATCACTTTTCCTCTGTTATTTAAGTTGAATCACGAGAAAAACAAAGCTATCAACCTTAATTCAAATACAATTGTATAATGTTACAACGTAATTTTCAAAGTTATTTTTGAATTTGTCTAAACAGATTTGATTGTGAAAGTTGATCAAAAATAGCTAACTTTCATCATTGAAAAGGGCAATTAAATAAGCTTGATTACGCGACGAATAAAGGCAATTAAAAATTGCCTTTTACTTTGACTTGCACCAGATTAACCCAGATTGCCTTTTGTGCCTTCTGTTTAAAACCAAAAGTAAATCTAGTAAATTGGAGTCGTCTGAAAATCAGTTGAAACATTATTCAAAAAATAAGCAAAAAATTGATGAAAAGTAAACATAAAATATCATCTGAAATGCTATCCAGCAACCAGAATGTTGCCTGAATTTCCCTGGAAACCCATTTCAATAACAAATACTTGAACAATAAATATCAATTGTTTAGATGTAAAAATATGATAAAAAGTCATAACTACGTATTAACTAATACAACAATAACAGACGGACAAGATTTCAAACCAAGCTTCAAAAAGATAGCATCATAAGGAATTTTGATTAAAGGCGAATTAAAGAAATGAACAAAAACACCTTCAATAGATCTTATTTAAAAGCTAGAGACAGATTAGTGACTTGGGATTAGAGGCTATCTTTTTGCGGCGCAGTGTAATCCATTGATGCAAAGCTTCAAGTAAAGGAAATGTTAATACTTGTTAACTCTTGTAAAATAGATTAGTATTAATAGTTTAAGTTTTGATCAATGGTTGGAGTAAATTAACTTAAATATGTTTTGAGTTTTGATGAGACAATTTTGAATGATTTACCTTTTGTTCATCCAATAATAAACCAATGGATTGTACATTGAATTGGACATTGCCAGCCAATATGAGAAAAGGTAAATATGTTGAATGATGACTGATTGATTAATATGTGGATAATGATATGAATAGAGGAAGTAAGCATGATAAGGTAGCCAACAGATAGCAAAAAGCACAACCAAAGCGATCAACATTCGAGCCACTTTTTGCTTTGAACGAATCGATTCTCGTTGAATGTCAGTTTCCTCGCCAATCCCTTTACTGCCCCAAAGAACTCGAGACATCAAGGAATAAGTAATTATCAATGAAATCATGGGTATCACATAGGTTATCGCCAAAAAGGTCAAATTATATCTAGAAAGAAAAAGACAAAATAAAACATTTCGTTAGTCACGAAAAATCATAAATTTTAAACATCAAAAACATTTCATTGGGAATCGGGAAAAGAATCAAAATCAAAACCTTTAAAAAATGAAAACAAATTTCTTGCTAAAATGACAAAACAATTTAATTACAATTTACAAACTTTCACCATTTTCATCACAAATCTTTCATGAGAGCTTCATGGAAAACGTTAATTTCTTAATGTCCAACGGAATCGTAGCATTACCTGCTATTAAGAATGTTACTTTGCAACTATAAATAACATAGTATGGATTAAATATTAACTGGGAAGGAATAATATAATCACAATTGTAATGTTTTAGGAGTCAAACAAGATTTCTGGTTTTTGAACAATTGTCTGACCAAAAGAGCATTATCATTATCATTATCATCGTTTCTATTATTAACATTATTATTACCATTTTTTTGCAATGTAAAGGTAAACCTAATGTAAGATTTTGTTTAGAAACACCTTTTTTCAGCAATACTTGACTGGTATAAAAGGGTAACAAAAAGATGAAAATAGTTTTTACTCATTCTTCTCATTTCTTATTGTATCTTTAATGATATAATAAATGGGAAAGAGACTGCTTGCAGTGAATTTTATTTCATCGTTTTTGATTTTTTCTCATGTGTTTATATCTATTTTTTGTTTTGTTTTTAACTTTTTTTCTTCTTTCGATATTCAATTGTGTTCCATTGACTGTAAAATATTACAATGGGTTTCAATTTAAATCACAATTGGGAATCGATAAACAATCAAAATGTTGAATGTAATATTAATTTTCTTGTCTTTCACTGACAAAAAACTCATAGGATTCAAATAACAGCACAAGAGGCAAAATTGACAGTAAACAGTTATTTAGAGTTTAAATTATGTACATAATCAATTGATTATTGTTCTTGTTGGCAATTTATAAATATATTGTTGACTTGATTTTGCCCATTATCTTTGTACTTTTATCATCAAAACATGAAGCAAAAGTAGAAAGCAAAATATTTTTAATAACAACTTAAAACTAACATTTACATAGAACGAGGAAAAAGGGTTAAAAATTGTATTATAAATCAACTGGGAGAAGAACAAGAAAAGTTCAGCCTTTTTATCAATTCAATAAGATTGTTGATTAGCTGAATGTTTTCCTCTTTGAAACAAAGTTTATGAATTAAGAGCATTTCATTGGGAGTAAACAAGAAAAGGAGAAAACCCAGAAAATGAATTTTCCGTTTACAGTTTTAATGGTTTGTTGACCATTATGATGGTCATCAAATGATAAGCTCAATCAATCAGTTTTTTTCCCTCAATCTTAATCTTCTTACAACTCCCAGTGCTGAGCATTTTTAAACTTGACAGAATCCAAATCCCGATTTAGCTAACCAAAAGAGTTAATATCAGTTAAATGTAATTTTTTATCCTTCATCTTTATCAAGTTATCAACTGAGTTGCAATTTTTCTCATGTTCATCCAGACAGCTTTAGATTAAAAGAATTGCAACTTTTCTTATTCATTGTTAATATACTGTAAATGGAACAGAAAAAAGAGCGAAACATTTTTTCCTCATTTTCCTCATCACATTGATGAAAACAGTTCACTGAATTAACTGGTAATAATATTATCATGGAGAAAGTAACCGGCTTTCATTGTTTATCCTCATTCAACTCTGTAACCTAATTCCTATCAAAGGAAAACCATGTTAATATCGAGCTTATGTTCAGTCTGAGTTGAAAGTCAATGGACTATTTATCCTGGTGAATGTTTGGCAAAAGAGTAAAGATTTCAATGTAAAGAAAACTTTTCATGTTATTTACAAATGAATGTAAAATGCAATTCTTGATTTACCAACAATTTTCACTTAAAAACTATCAAAGAATCTTTATTCAGGTTTGGGTAAAATTTCACTTCAATATATTGATTCAAATTGTTTCATTGAAATCTTTCAACACTTTCAAGGTGCGCTTTACAGCTTACAACAGCTAATGATAAGACGATTTACAGACGATTGTATTTACCATCATTAACCTTTTTTTTGGGGTTTTTTTTCTTCTTCATCTAGAAAAAGATCTTTTCGTGAATTGAAAAATATTCAGACTTTCAGAGATTCAAGATTGATTGGAATGGAGATTCATCATGTGGAAAGTTTGTTTCTATTCATGTTTCCAGTAACAATCTTTTCTCTCAATTTTATTACATTTCCATTTTATTGATGATCTTTTTGCCTACTTCAAATATGATCATTTAGAGTTAACTTTATCATTCAGTGAAATTGAATCACCATGAACAATTGGAAAAGAGGCGATGAGAATGTTTTCGCTTTTCGTTATTCAACTTCAAGTGGGTTAAAGCAGATTGATTATGGTTTAATTGGTGATCAACAGTGTAATCCAGTGTAAAGTTCATGTCATGTTGTCTCTCAGATTTTCAGTGAAAAGTGTTCAAAAACATGCAACATTAAGAGGGGAAAAGATGCTCCAATCCATCAATTAACCTTATAATTATAAAATAATTTACCTCTGAAAGCATAATCAGTGTAAGTTTAAGCTTAAGTTGAAAATTTGCTCAAGATATGGAAACAGTTTTTCAAGCTTAAATGATGAGATAAACTGACAGGAAAGATTCAGACTTGGTAGATGAAGAGTTAACATAATCTATATGAAAATGTTTCAAACCATATTTTACTTTCCCTTTTTTTACTTTTCAGTGAATCATTAATTTTTTGTTTTTCATTTCCATGCTTAACCAATTGTTTCATTAAATTACTCTCATGATAAAGTGTAGTTATATTTTTACATGGTAATACGGAATTTCAATTAATCAACAATATTCTTGATCAATACTTTTCTCTTGGTTTCTTTTCTTGTTTGCACTTCACAGCATTTCTAATAACATTGTATTTTCATCTCAAATGAAAAAGCTAAATCACTAATGTAATTATTAATAGATAGAAACCTCGACTGGCGAAGCTAAAAAGCCATTTTGGTGAAAGTATAATATGAGAATTTGGGAAAAATGATTCCACTTGAATGAGCTAACAGAATACTGAATCAATAATTTAGATTAGATGAAGCAGAAATTGCAACGATTCAAGTGGCTTAAAGGTTTTTGATAACATTGTTAACAGACTGGAAATGGACAGTTAAAATAAAGAAATCACAGTTTTCAAAGGTCAAGAGTAATCTGACAAAGAGATTAAGTAAAGTCCAAGATTGGATAACAAACTTCATTTTTAAACACTTGAAACGTTCATGATTCAAAACTTGAGTCCAAATTGTGAAAACCATTTAAGGATAGTTTATCGTCTGGCAGCTATGAAAGATAGACTCAAATGATTCGTTCATTGTAACATTTTTAAATGCTATTTTATAAACTCAAATCTCGCAATTTTACTTTTACTAAGTGTGATATGATTTAGCCTGAAAAGATTCGGATTCCTAATGAAAAACCATCGTCAGAATGAGAAATCAAAAGTTGAAATCTTTAGCTTTTGTCACTTTGATAATAATCATTTTGTAATGAAAAAATCCTTTCTTTTCACATAAAATTTTTCATTCGAGTTGAACCTTTGTTGATTGAATGGGCATAAAACTGGTTGCATTTGTTGCATTAAGATGGAAAATCTTTGACAAAATTGAGTTCGAAAGTGAAACTTCGATATCCTTCTGTACAGTTGAGGCACCAGATTTTTCACCGACTCTACTCTTTACACCTAGTTCGATCATGGCTTACAGACTTGGAAATTTTCCTTAGAATCCTTTCAGTTTGGTTACAATTTACATGAAAATTTGATACTTTCTACTTATATTATTGTATTGTATAGATTACTTGTTTAACTTGAATTAAATTTCACGATTGCAAAAGAATCAACCCTTTGAAATGAAAAAGAGTCTATTTGATTGAGTTTCAACTTATTTTATAATTGAGAAAAATCTCTTTAAATTAATCGCATGAAGGCGTCATTTGATGATTGTGTTTTTTCAATTATAAAATAAGTGCAAGTCGAGTTTAAATCATTGCAACAAAAAGATAAATATTTATTCCAAGATTTATATCTATTCTGAATTCGTCCTCTAAACGTACTTTAACTGAGTTTTCAAAACATTTGCCAATCCTATGCAAAAATTGATAGAAATAGATTAACATGAGTTGAAAAAATTGAACGTTCGCAACCTCAAAAAGTCGTAGAAGCTGCGTGATGAATAAAACTGAGCCACCAAACTGAGCAAAAAGCCTTGACTCATTAAAGGAGTTGAAAAAAATTATCCAAAAAATGGACAGAAAGTTGGAGTAAAAACTCCGACTAATCAGTAAAGAAGTGCATTTACAATGAAAATTGGTAACTTTTAGTTGAGAAAATCTAGCGACAAAAAACTGAATTACTTCAACATTTCCAAGCACAAATTCATTGAATATACAATGGAGTTAATTTTAAAGTATGTCTTCATATTCTTCAATCCAAATCAAGTCACCGTGAAGATGATTCCATGATTTATAAACTATCCTTCGTTTTCTCAGTGGAAGATGGCTTTCATCAATGTTATCTGTTTGAGCTGAACTTTCTTCCGACTGATCTCTGCATTGATTGTCGGTTGTGTGCTGGAGTCAACCATATGATACTACTTATGGCATCGCAATTAAACATCAAAATTGAGGACTTCGCTAACTTTTCATGCTGATTTCTGGTAGCTAAATAACTAGGATTTTTTTGTATAAAGCAATGTATTTACCAATCGATTTCACGATTCAATTGAGTAGTTTTTTGACATCAGTTTAAGGTTGCTTTGTGTCAAATTGAAGCTACATTAAATCAATATTTGTCCAAGCTATTATCCATTATAATCATTTAAAATTTGAACTCAATGTTTACTGGTTAAATAAAGGTTGTGATTGTTAATTGTTGATTTGAAAGACACACACACAAAGAGTCGATCAGATATTGATACACAATTGTTAGGTGAGGCTACATTGTTCAATTGTAAGCAAATACAATGTAAAAAATGGCAATTTACCCAATTGTGCAATTGATAGTTGACGTTGATAATGACCTTCATGGACATATAAATGGACGGATAACAGTTTAAAAAAGATTGCGATGTAACGTGCGGTTAACTTAATAAAGCTGATTGGATTGGATAAACAATCAAAGTTACACAAACACAAATAGACACACACACACAACACACAAATGAAAGATACTTGAGGAAAGTTGGAAGAAACTTTGACCAGAATATATCGTTATTGTCATCATCATTGCAAACTATCATTATCATTAACATTATCAATTGATTTTGTTCACTGAAAATTATCATTATCGTCATCACCAAGTAGGAGTAAATGTACGAGACAGAATAACGAAAATACTGTTGATAAAATTGTGTTATTTGGTAGCAGATTTTACTCCCTATGAAGACACATTGAGAAATGTTATTTTTGCTTCGTTTTCCCTGCCTTTACTGTTGGCTTTTTTTGCTTCACCATTCAACAACAAACATTATTCCCAATAGATATTAGGAATGCTCATTAAATTAAGTCAATTGGAAACAATCAGAACAGATTATTGAGTCAATGAAGGAGGAAGAAGAAGGTACAGAAAAACGTAAAAATCAACTTGAATATGAACATGGATGAGAAATGAGAAGAGAAATGATAAAATGAAACTTCATTTGTCAAACATTATGATGACAATCATCTATCTTGACCTAACCAATGGCGATGATAATCGGTAAACAACTGAAATGAAACACACTTGATTGGGATTGCATCAAAATAATTAACTATCAAAATGATTTGCTTAAAAGCAATCAATCAATTTTTGTTTCAAGTTCACTGTTAGATATTTATAGCTTCTGATTGTCATGAGATAAGCTATTTGATTCCCAGGTTTAGGCTATTTGACAATTTTGTATTTTACTTGAGGCTGTAGTTCAAGTAATGTCCATCAAGTCCTTTGTTAGTATTTACATTGACACTAAATAATACAAATAAAAAGGCAACAATCAAATCAGAGAGTCAAATGCTTCAGGCAAATGCATTGCCATTGTTTTTCAACCTTTTGGGTCCATTTGGGTCATTTTTCACACTTTAGTTTGCATTTAGGTAAATCAATGAAAAATTGTTTCCTCCTGTTCAGTCTCTGGTTTGGTTAACCGGTTCATCACTTAACTTGGGTTATATCTAATGGCTACATTTGATAGTTACTCAAGTTTTAGTCCATTAAATATCAATCATCGGCATTTTGTGTTGGTGTTTTAGGAAACTCAACTCAGATAATCCTCTTAAAATGATTCCATCTTTAAATAATATTGCTAATAAACTATTTTTACGCATATTTATTTTATATTAATATATTGAAATGATGAGAAGCACTTGGATTCACGATATCTCTTCATAATCATTATTATACAGTTGAAGGAGCAAACAGTAATGAAAAATGCCAGAATTTTGTTAACAACAAAACAATCAGGAATCAACTAGAGTTATGGGAAGCTAAAGCGTTAAAGTTTACTTTCATTCTGAATAAACATCTTGGTCTTTCTTTTTAACACATAAATTGCTGTAAATAATTACAATCATCATGCATAATCATCACTTTAAAAGACTTTAATCCTCTTTTAACAAGGCTTTTACTGGGTGAAATTACTTTTTACAATTAAACGAAAGGTTGGAAATGTTGGAATAAAAATATAGATAACAAATTTCAGATTGTATGACAATTTTGTTAAAAGGGATTGATTGAGGAATTGTAAACTGATCTTTCAGGTTCATCATTGATATTGCTTTACTTTGGTTGTAATTGATAATAATGAACAAAAAACTATTGCAATAAAACATGTGATCCACAGATAGAAATGTTGTTTAAAAAATTGTTACAAAGTAAAGATCGGATAACAATTTAGACTCTGAATCTTGCAATAGCTAATAAACTAAAGTCTTGATATCTATGTTTAATGGTATTAGAAAGAGTAATTAGCTGTTAGTTCTGTTGGTTTCAATTAGGCTGTGCTTTTATTGGGAGTAAAACAAATCGTGAACATGAAAGATACTCCATGGGTTGTTAAGGTTATTGATTGATGGTGATTAATGGGTTAAAATGTGCATAAAACTACTCACAGGTAATCTAATGTTGATTGTCCAGCATAACCATCAGGCCAAACTAAAATACAGACCACTCGATAGCCTCCATCTTGAAAGGGTATGGTAAACAGTTCAGAGTAAAGTAAATTAGGAAGTGATAATAAAGCTGCTAAACTCCAGACCATGATTATAATCAGCATAACTTGATGTTTGGTCATCCGAGGTTTCAGTGGATGGACAACAGCAATATACCTTTGATTAATTAACCAATTAATTAATCATCATTAAAAGAGATAGCGAGAAGAAGAGGAAAAGGAAGGGAAACAAGAAAAGAAAAAAAAAATAGAATGAAATCATTGAAAAGGTAACACAAGTAGCTTTGAGTTGACGATATTTAATCAATCAAACCTGTAGTCGCCTTATAATTAAAAATTCATCACCTCATCATGTGATGAGAACATTAATTCAAGTCAACATTAATTAATTTGATTAATATACTAGTGATGATGACCTTACCCCAGTTTTAGACATTTCAAATGATTGACAAAATGTAAAATCCAAAAGAGTAGACATTCAGGGTGTGATAAGTAACCGTGTAAAACAAAAAAACTGGTAAATTTGGGTTCACTTTATAAATAAGTATACATTTGTCAATAAATTGAACTACACATTTTAAAATTGATTAACTAGGCACTTTGACATTTCAACATTAATTATAATCAAAAGGGAGACACAAATTGAATATGTAAATCAATTAAAGAAAGAGGATAATTTTTGGAGATTGATTAAAAATAACTGTCGCACAACCGGTGCATTGATCAAACTTTTAAATGTCGCCATCTCCCGATTAAAATGTGATTAGAAAAGAAAGTGATTAGTTCTCTTTCTTTTCTTAAAATTAGGGGAAAACAATGATTGCCCCTTCAACCAGAAAATTGGTAAAGATGGCGCCAAATTGGTTTAACCGGGAAACATGTGTTGAAAAATTAAGTGTTGATAGTTGATTAATTTCTAGTTTTAATGTTGAACATTTCCATGATAATCTTTAATGTTTCAATTTAGCTGTGAATAATTGATTGATCCAGTTAAATACAATTTAGCCATCTTTATTAATCAATAACTTACAAAATAACAATTTATCTCATATTCATGGATATTCATATCTTCCAATAGGATTTATGGTTTCCTTTTGTATTTCACTTTTCCATTTCTTACGGTTTTTCTTCCTGTTTTTTTCCATCAAAATGGCCTCTCTTCACCATTATCATCATCATAATCATCATCGTCTTCAATGTCTTCCTTTTTTTCATCTTATAAAATAATTGTATCTTTACCTTACTCCTTTTTTTTGATTTGTTCAAGACTTCTAATATATCATCACTGTCTTTCATTATGCATCTCTTTTGAGTTGCTTTTTTTCAAAAGGCTGTCCTTCATCATCATAATCATCATTTCAAACATCCTCATTGTTTAACTCAATTCATCTCAGGCTTGTAGAGATAAAACGACCTTTTCTTCATTCTGCTTGTGATGAAGAGTAAAAATAACATGATACAAGTTTTTTTTCTGTATCTCTCTTCTTCTTTTGCTTCTTAATCCTCATCACCATCATCAATATAATAACAACCTTGAAATATAATGGAACTTAAATGTTACAGTGAAACAAAAAAAAACAGGAGCAAAAAGATTCAAAAAATAATGGAAAACAATTCAAATGACAATTTGTTTGTAGAAGTTGTTGATAGTAGTGCAAAACAATCAACATTAATACAATAATACAAATTGAAAAGTGTTGGCCGATGATAATAGAATTGAAAAGTTAATGAGAAAACAAGTGAACGGCGTAAATCAATAATTGGATGATTTTTGCTGGTAACCAATATGCTCGAGAAAAAATTTAATAACAAGATCACTTGATAATGTTGTTGCATTTTTGCAAAATTAAATTTTGTCCTGATAAATTTATAAGCTTCAACCTTGCAATTATAAAGTGTTTTGAAAAGATTATTCAAATCTAGAAATAATAAAAAAAATGATCATCGAAAATGTAATTATAATGCATTCAAGAACTTTTTAATTTAATTTCTGTTGCTGTATCGAGGTTGCCATTTTCAAAGACATCAAATACAAAATTATAAACATCTTAACTTTGTTTATCAAAGTATAATGGAAAAAGCGAACCAGGTTAGCGATCTCTATCAACAGTTAAATTGTCTTTCAAGTCGATGGTAAAGGATAATTGATTAAAAAAGGATTAATATTAAGAAAATAATCTAAACGACATCAAAATTGGTTAATGGATTGTTTGCCGCGAACTCAATCTTAGCTGATAATTGGGATTGGAAATGAAAGTTTCTATCGACCGTAACCGTATCCACCATATCCTCGTCGGTATCCACCACCGTATCCACCACCGTATCCACTACCGTAGCCACCACCGTAGCCACCACCGTAGGGTCGGCCATAACCACCGCTGTAATTAACAGAAAAGACAATCAATTAGTCAAGAACATGGACAAGGTTGGATTCATTTTGGACTTGGATGTATGGACTGAAATGCCAAGCGAAATGTTGAAAAGAAGATGGATTGAAGATGAATCACTTCACCAAAAACATTTCAAATGTTGTCAATTCACCTGTCTATCAACAATTTTGTTTTCAAAATATTGAGTAATCTAGTTTTTGAAAACTGGCAAGGGATTTTAATCCAACCAAGATGGAGTTGATTTGGATGAAAAAATAAAAGGATTAAATGACTTACCCGTAACCACCACCGAGGAAACCAGCTTCAACCATGGGGACTCCGATGTATAAACAGATAGCAATGACTGCCAAAACGAGTGTAACCATTGAATTCATGTTGATTGGTTTTTGTTTTTTGTTTGAACAAAAAATTGAAAAAGCAAAAAGTAAAGACTGTGTTCAGAGATTTGAATGAACTAAACAAGCAAGAACTGTTGAATGAAAAATGTCTCTTTTCGATTTACCTTAAATACTGTAAATTTGACACACACAAAAGGAAGCCCAAGAGGAGATTTCCTGTGACGAAGCAAGCCAAAAAAAAGTCAACTTACACACTCACTACATCCCACTAGATGTATGTAATAAATGCATCTATTTACAGGATCCTCAGGTAATAATGGAAAAGGATTTCCTTTCCTGATCATCATCATCTTGTTCTTATCATGAAAAGTAAAAAACAGTGATGATACAAAATTGAATACACACATTGATTAATATAATCAAAAAAATCTCTTTCTCCAAAAAAAACTAGGTTCAAGATTAAAACGGATGGAAGAGTGAACAAAAAACATTTCTTGCTTTCATATTCGTAATCTGGTTTCCATTCTGGTATTCCCGTAAGCCTGATGAGATCGGAAATGTGTGGATTAGAATGCTAAACCTGAAAGTAAATGATTATCAGGATGTACAAGAGTGTTAAGTCATGGAGATGAAACTGCTATTCTGTTTCCTGAAATCCTGAAATTTCATCTATCAAAAGTGGACACCAGATATTTGTTAAAACACAACATTTTCCTGCAGATTGATTAACTTATTGTGGATGGAATGGAAAAAAAATATGTCTTTTTTTTCCATTGTTTGGTTTGTGACCCTTTCTCAATAACCAAATTGAATCAAGGCAACATTATTAATTAGTGTGCTTCTATTTTCTGCCGTGTGTTTAATCAATTGACTTGATTCAATTATACTTGTCTTTCAATCTCTAAATCTAATCATCGTTGCCAAATAATAATGTGTTCAACTGTAATTTATTCACATGCAAAAAGCAAAGAAAAAATAATGTTGACTTTTCATAACAACTGATACTGTCATCAAGTCAACCTGGTCCTTGCTCATCAATCTCATCTTTTTGATTGATACCTATTTATCATTATATATAAATATCCCTGATTAACTTGTTTAATCAATGGTAAATGAAAGTTGACCAGAAAATTCGCTTCCCAGTCAAATGTCCAGATCAGTTTAACCAAACAAGCAGAAAAATTGGCTCCAGTTGATTGCAAGGAACAATTAAAGTTGGCCAAATATTCACCTTTTTTACCAACATCTTTAAAGCCAAATATTAAATCCAATTGTTCAATCCCTTCAGAACAATCAACGTACAAAGCTGATCAAAAGTCCAGCAAATTATAAATGCTTTTATTGGCAATTAAATTAAGTGTTGTATAGATGAGTGGAAAGTAAATTGTTATTACTGACAGTTTCATCATCAACACAATCATCATCTTAAGAGTTGTTCAAAGTTGCTGTTGTAGCAGTTAAAAAAACAGTTCAACTCCAGTTACCAAACACAGTTGTAATTGAATTAAGAGTATCAATGCGTTAGCTAATAGCTGATTGTAACACTGAAATATTGCTATTTATAAAAGAGACGAAAATTTCAATCTCTAATTTCTGGGTTAAAAAACAAGCTTAAAAATGTTTTCACCACAAATTGTTGACTTAATCAATTTACTCTTTCCATTGTGAGTTAATTAGATTTAGTCATTTCTTCCTTGATCCAGCAACGAAAAGCCAACTTAACCTGAAATCAAAGATGAATTGGAAAACATTGGCAACAAAATTAGATACAATTTACAAAAATGTCATGTAAATGTCATTTTTGATTAATATTTAATCAATTAGCAATTCCCTAATTGCACCATTTTGCCTGATCAACATTCATTTAATTATACGGAAGTTACAGATTAATGTGAAGATGAATAAATTAGCAAGATAATTAAAAGCTTAATTAACCTGTAATCATCAAGACATTGTATTGACTGGAGAGACCAAAAAGGACAAATTTGATGATGGAAATTAAATTATAATTGATTCACGTTTCCAATTGAAAAACAATGTTTAATTGTGACAATTAGAATCTTTTTTTTCCCTCTTTCAAGTTGACATTTGAAGTGAAAATATTTAATTTGTTGGATCCATCAGAAGTTGTTTTCAAACTGTTTCAATTAAACAATTGGAGTGACTAATCTTAATAACTGGTTTGGGTTAAACCTTTTCAAATAAAACAAATTGATAGAACCCAAAAAAACAGTGAAAAACCATTTACTATGAGTTTTACAATTGTAATGGCAACAAATGCAAACAAATGACAGTTACATTCAGGACAAGACAAAAAAAAGAAGCAAATTGTGAAGATTTTTTCAGGCTTCAGTTTTATCATCAGTGAATCATTCTGGAATCAGTTCAAGGTTAAATCATGATTCAAATGTTGTTATCACTGAATCGATAACAATGTGACAAAATCATTTCTGAATTGTTTGTTATATTGTTATAAAAGGCAAAGACAAGCAAAGCCTGGACCAAAGGACAGAGAGAAGGAAAACAAAAATGGATCTTTATTTCATTTCTTGTTCTCATTATTGAATAATTGATTGAATTAAGGTTCAATTGTCAGGGAATGATATTTCCATGTTTATCTTTTCATTTGACCCAAGTTTCATCAGATTAAATAAATGATTATATCATAACAGAGTGTACATGTTGAAGTGTACATCATACAAGTTATGTGCACTTGTTTGATTATCCTTATGGAAATGGGTTCAATGGTAATCAACCCGATTCCAAGTTAAAACCCATTTATTTATCACGTTCAGTTAATAGGTTAACAAACCAAAAACTGGTCAATGCTTGATGGACATCATTGTATTACAAGATAAGGCAATAGCCAATATCGATGACAGTCTTGATGATTAAAAGTTAATTTGACTCTAATAACCAGTTTCCTAGGATAAGTCAAAGACTTTCATCAAATTGAGATGAACGTTTCGCTTCATTTTTGTGACAACAGAGTTGAAGTCTGAACTTCAGACTCTGAAGGTTGATTATGATTGTTCATCATTGGTTCAAATGTTGAAATATGAGTTAACATTGAATGTTGCAAAAAACTGGTTGAATTAGCTTTTGCCAATTTGATCGCTAATCGTTTAAGCTGCCTTTTGTTCAGCGTGATTGTCATCGGATTATTTTGCATTATTGAGATAAAGTTGATTAACAGTTGAAGTTTATTGATCCTATTGATAATTTTTGCTGAATTGTAAGTTGATCCAAATAAATTTAAACTCTTGGATAACATTTTGTTCATTGTGCATTTATCATTGAACCTAAATCTTTATACTTTCACCCTTTTCCAACTCAGCAAATTATCGATTTATGTCAACTTTTCTATTATTTCGCTAATGAGTTTTTGAAAGAGAATCGATAATTGGAAGTCAGCAAGTTACAAGCATTTTGGCAAGCTCAAACTTCAATTGATTTGAATAATTTCACTTGACAAACTGTTACAACTCAAATCAATTTGATTGCAATAAATTTTCATGCAACTTTTAAAACTTTAGTCTGTCAAAAGATGATTAAACGAAATGGTAAATTGAAGCATTTACTGATTTAGAAATTACAATTTCTCCATCAACTTCCCCAAATTGCTAGTCAATTCAGTCACTTCATCTCGATCGATCGAGAACATTTCCTAAACTCGAAATCTTAAAGCATCAACTTCGATCTTTAAAGCGTCTAAACATCAAGCAATTATCAACCACAACTGACAATTGGAAGAAAAGTTCACAGAAAAGTTTCACTGAACTTTCGCCTCAACATTTCTTAATTAGTTGAGCCTTTCAGTTGCTTTCATTAGCAATAAGTACTAATCAAAGCGAAACAGTTTTGATAAAATTTCCAGGTTAACATTGGAAACAATTTTCACGATCTTCCAAAAGCTTTAACCATTTTAACAGTCAAAGTAAACAATTTGAAATATTAATAAAGTTTTTAATTGCAATTTATGGTTATTGTCGAAGGAATGAACAGTAAAATGTGAGAAAAGTTGAACAAGATTGAAATGAAAAAAAAGATGAAAAAGTTTAGATGAAAATTGAGGACAAGGATATTAGGAAGTGAAAACATGATTGATGAAATTGAAAGGTTAGTGTACATTGAATATTGGAAACATGAATAACTTATTTAATGAACCTGAAAAGTGTCTGACAAGATCAATGTGAACATAAAGTCCACACAGTTTTTCATCTTTAACTCGGCCACTGAACAGTTTAATTATCCAAAAATGGACTCTAGACATAAAGTGTCAGTTTTGCAGTTCGGCGGAAAGTTATGTCAGAATTGACTGAAATTTTCATGAATCAAGTAAATTGATATAACGTTTCAATTTCGACTTCAAAGGATTGATGCCAGCGAAAATTAAAGCGAAAAAATTGCATGATTATTCAACACTTGCAGGAAAAGTCGAACAAGGAAGAGAAAAAAAACGAAGAAAAAAATGATGTTGATGGATTAATAAGAAGATGATGCAAATGTTGAATAAATATTCCTTGGCCAAGCATTCCATGAAATTAGCTTTAAATTCAACTCCAAAAGACAACATTTACCAGGGAAACGGATAAACATTGAACTTTTGGAAAATGAATTTCATCTTTTATGAGAATAACATTGAGAGTGATTCTTGTGAATTATAAACATGATTGAGAGTTGAATGTTTCACAACAAAATATATTGTTGAAATGCAATCTCGGATAACATGGTAACGATAATATTTTGGATGTGATGAAGCAAAAAACAAGAGAAAAAAGAAGCAAAAATATTCTGTCATTTCGATTGTCTTCTATCAAGATGAATTGATGAAACTGTGAACACACTTGTGATTGCAAGCCTAATTCTGTCCCATGAACATGGAGAAACTTTTGATTGATGGCTTCGAATTTCTTCCGTTTCTTTCATTCCAACAAAACTACAATTTTCATAACACATTCAATCAGATGCAAGATTGTTTCTGTTTCACTTCAGAGTTAAATTCAAAATTTTCAGCACAAATGATTATCCAATGATGACATTAACGAACTTTTTCCCCTTCTTCAAACTCGAATTCATTTCGTACAATTTTCAGTTCCACCGACAATTGAATCATTTTTCAATTTACAAGTGATAATCTTTTCAATATCCTTTTCAATCGTAAACAATTCAATAATAAAATGAGAATAAGAAAGTGATATTTGAATAATTTATGTTAAAATTTGGAGTAAATTGTATAAAATGTAATTTAAATAATAATTTGTATTTTGTTGAAATAATTTGCTCAAAATTTCCTTTCGCTTTGACATTATCTGGGTTCTCATGCATTAGAATCGTAATTGTATAAATTGTTATTTAATGTCAAATGTTTTCACGTAACTGTAGACCTTTGTGATTCCCTGTTAAATGTAAAAATATATTTTCTTACAAATTATGTTTCACTTTAATTGCTGATTTAAGTTATTCATTAAAAACAATTTTATATCAATTTCATTTTAGATTCATTCTCATATCAAGATTGCTTTAATAATGAGCATCCAAATGATTGACTTGAAAGTCGCTTAAAAGCAAAAATGAAAGCTTTTCAGAGTAAAATTTAACCCAAATTTGATCAATCATTTCAACTGTTGATTGTTGAGTTTAATTTCATTTCTGTTTCTTGTCTGTTTCAAGTTTATTGTCGAGTTATTTTACATCATTGTTGTGGTAAGAAAATGATTGGAGTTTAATAATGACATTGTTTAAGCTTCTGTTTTGTTGAGGTTAATCAAGATCCCAAAGATTATCTCATAAGCTGTGAATAACTTGGTATAATTTTGAGGATTTTTCA